TGCCTCTGACACAATGATTAATTTTAACACGACTAAAATTATTTTAGTCATGTTTTCTGCCGACCCTTAAATCTTAGCGGGTATACAGATTAATGCCGCGTTTAATAACAAATAAACGTGTAACAAGTACAAACTGCAGCTAATACTTGGCGAGAGAGACGCAAACAGTAGCATGCAAAATACAAAAATGATTTCTCGTTGGCATTCCAGGAAAGAAGAAGCAAGTAAAATGGAAGAAGTTAAACAGTGGCGAACCCGGCGAAGACCGGCTTCTAGTATGGATGGTGGCATGAGTCGTGCAAATTACTGCAAGTACGAGGTACTATAATATTATGGTAGTTCATTATGGCATCTCGCCAAGGTATGAGCTGTTCACGCAGTTTATGGCGCACGGTAGATAGTCGCGGCGGTGGGCTCAGTGATGCTCTTACCGCTGAACATAGCGACCGCGATGCTGGCGAAGAGCACAATAATCTGGAAAGCCAGCTCCGTGCTGACAATGGCGGCTGGTGCCGTCACGATTAAGATGACCGATACCTTGCGATAGGCGTCAACGAGGAGGCTGTACCAGACTAGCAGGCCAAAAGCCAGCAGACTGCTGATGATGCCCATCACCAGGGCCGTGATGGCCAAGCACATGGCGTTGCTCTTGGACTGGCGGATGGCGCTAGCGGCGGCCAGGGCCAGAATTCCGCTGACGATGAAGACGATGCCGGAGACAAAGCCGGTGTACTTGGTGGCGGAGGCGCCCGCCCACAGTCCCATTCCTGCAATCGATCATGTATGTAAACTCCTGGGTCAACGGTTATCGGAATTCCGAGTCATTAGATCCTGCTGCAATGTGACAAACGGGTTTGGGGCGCTGAACTATGCTGGAATATGTATTACCACTTTTGCTCTGCATCGCAAATTTACTAACACTGCAGAATTACCAATGAGGCCGAGCAAATGCTTTTTTGTTCTATTTTTAAACTCTGCGATGTGGCCAAAATTTTTACTGAATAATTTTTTCATGACAAAATAAAGCTGTTGGAATATATAATGTAATGTACACAATATATGTATGCTTATATATAAGGGGCGAAAGCAAACGCGTTCCACCGTTCCCCTGTACTGCTGCCGTCACCCGCCTGGAGTGTGACGTTACGGCAATACATATGGCTAAATCTGGCGCGGTACATAAGCGCCATGTTTAGCCACAACGTCAAACTCCAGCCGGATGACGGCAGCAGTACAGGGGAACGGTGGAAGATGCCTGCTTTTGCCCCCTATATACAAAATATATGTATAATTACCTCTATATACACAATACGACTATATGTATACGTATATGCATGTACACAATATATGTGTATACACAATATATGTTACGCAATACGAGTATATGTATATATTCATGTACACAATATATGTGTATACACAATATATGTTACGCAATACGAGTGTATGTATATATACATGCACATCGGCCAATTTAGACGAAATTTTCTGTGTGATTAGGCCGCCTATTTCCATAATCGGCTGAGCTGTGTATCCAGTACAAATCTTTCACTTTTATACGAAATTTGTAACTGTATTGTATCGCCAAAATGAGTAAAAATTACTGTGGCTATGCGTGTACACAATATATGTATATTCACAATATATGTTACACAATACGAGTATATGTATATATTCATGTACACAATATATGTTAAAGTACACGCTTTTATATTCGCAATTAAACAGATAATTCGGAGATATTTGCATTAAGCATGCAGTACACGCTTACATGCGAGCATCAGTGAGTTTTATACATAAATGTAGACAGAAAAAATAATAACATTTTTATTAGGCTTACCTATGACTTCACATAAGAAGATAACAAAGCCGCAGAAAATCTGAACGCCTCCGGCAACGGAAAGTGACATGATTGTGGAGTATTCTCTAATTCGGGCTTCGGGGGAAAGTAATCGCGGGCGTTTTGGCGAAAAAAGTCAATCACGTTTCGACTTTACTATTGGAAACAGCAACAGTTTCCTGAGTTACATGCAGAAACACCGAAAAATTACTGACTTTTTGTGCTTATGTGTTGCATCAGAATCGGGACGAGACAACTAGCGTGGAGCTTTCATTGGATCGATAAACTGTGTTACCGGCATCACCAAAACACGTGACGATTTTCATGGTACATCCGCATTAGCTCCGTTTATCACGCAGCCATGAACTGGCAACGCTGACTCACCGAATTCCTCCCTCCGCAATGGCAAACTGTAAAATTAAACTAAGTCTTTATAATAATTGTACCGGAGTTAAATGTTAGTACATTCAAGAACTTACTATAGGTAGAGGACTGGGAAGCGACTCTGCAACGGTCGACTACGTCATCACTGTCGCATACAGAATGCACTGGTGTGCTATTGCTTACCATAGGCCCACAGATTGTATTGTCCCTTTTTAAAGATATTCTCAGTTCCTTTCTCCTCTAAAGCTTTCTGATATTTTAACAGATCATATTGAAGTTAGAAACCCAAACATGAGGGGCTAGAAATAGAAGAGAAAACAAATGTCCTAAGAAAACTGACAAAAACCGTAAAAAACGCGCATCTGTCACCATGGCAGCCGCCCTCCCGTGTATGCGAGAGTGATGACGTCAAACGGTAGGTTACCAGTCCTCCTCACACTATAGTAAGTACAATACTTGGTACACTCATTACTGCCATATTGGTACGGCGCGCTCACATCGATACCATCCCGTTCCATGCACACACGAGTAGAAATTTGTTTTTATGTGTGGAATGACTACATTGAGCACATTTACATTAATGTCACTCTGTTCCGCTCGTTTGTCAAGCACAAACATTTGTTGCATATTGCGGCGCACCTGTTAATTTGTAGCAGGAAATCGGCAAAATGCTGCGTATTAGCGTTCATTGACACCATTTTTCCAGTAACTGAAAAAAGAGCATGCGTAAGCATTACTGTGCGTAAAAAAAGGTAATCATCTGGATAATAAGCCATCATTTTAACACAATAATGGCCCCTCCAATGCGATAATCGATCATAACTCTGTGATATGTGAATAATGCGACAAAACACTCGTTCCCAATTTGTGTCAGGAGTCTCTCTTTAAGCTTTATCCGGTTTTCCGGTGAGATAAAGTGGGAACACCACATGTAACGATGGACCACTTTGATGGCTACAGTCTTTCTCGAGGCTGCTACGGTAGCTCAGTAGTCAGTTTAGCTTTGTGATCGATGCCGAAACTCTATCCTGTAATGTAAGTAATCTTCTCTATCATACTTTCATACTCGTTTTTGTATTGGCAGTCGTTGCCAAATATTGTATTGGATTTTCTCCTATCATTTTGCAGGAGATGAAATGCGAAGGAGCCGTTTCGAAACACTGAGCATTAGTACATTTCGAAGGCGAATCGCAAGACTTGAACCTGAAAAAGAAAAGAAGTGGAGCGGGCTTTTCTTTCGTTCTATCTGCATTGTACAGAGATAGAACGAAAGAAAGCCCGCTCCATTACATTGTAAATTTGACAAATGCACAATTTAATGCCGATTTTCTGCAATAAATTGAGCGGTGCGCCGCAGTATGTACCACCTGTTTCACAAACCAGCGTAACAAGTATAACTACGGGTACGATCAGTAGTACAGGTATACATTCGGTTCGCGTTCATGTATGCTTGTTCGGCAGCCCCGCCTGCATTGCTCGAGGTCGCTCCAACTCAAAAGCCACGATATGTGATGCCCCAAATCGACGGCTGTCCACTTCCCCTGTGTCACTGCGTCCCGTCCATCCAGGTACCTCGCGATCAAAATAATCTGGCTGAGCGGTAGGATTAAATAATTATGTTTTCACCCAGCTGGTTTGGTGAGTATGTCTGCTATCATGAAAAATTAAATTTTGTCTGTACCAACCAGATACTCCCGTAATTTTATAACTGTGAACTGTCTAATAGTGAAACCACTATAAGTATCCATTTGGCTGAGTATCCAATATAAGATACCACTAGGACATTGAAAATCCGCGTCCTGCTTTGTACATACTCTGTAGTACATCGTACCAGCGAGGATTAAATTCTCAATATCTTTATTAAACATATGACCACGTATATTCCGAAATACATGGCCTGTGAATCGAAGTGTATTTTATTTGCTTTTCTTTTGTACACCGACAGTGTTCTTACTACAGCGTAGTACAGCTTCAAGTTCTCTAAACCTGCGAATTCTTTGTTTAAGGGAATTCGTGCCAAAATACTTCCACGGTTGGGTTTTGGGGGTTTTTTTGTAATGCAAGAATGGGAACACCGGGTATATTACCATTCTTGCATTATTATAAGACAAAATGGTAGTATCCCGATTTGGTGGTTTATTCCGTTTGGGTGAGCCACGCAGTGCATATCGGGTTACAGAAATCAGGAATGTAACAAACAAATAGGGGATCAAAGAGAGTAGAGCGAACACTTAGACTAGAGATCGGCAGGTAGTACCACGCGAGCCACAAGCCCGGTTTCGTGACACTTCTGGAAAGAAGCAATCCGGAAAAATGGTCAGAAGGTCAGAGAGGTGGATTTGACAGTGGATGGTCGCATGAACAGCAATTGCTCCCTAATACTGCCGGCAGTAGCCCGGCACAAGACTGGAATACATAATGGCATCTGGCGAGTACGTGGCTCTCTCCGGCCGTTTACGCCGCATAGATCATGGGCGCTCTGGTGGCGGCGGCGGTGGTGGTCGAGGTGGTGGGCACCCAGACGGTTCTGGAGCTGTGCACAGGGGCTGCGATACTGGCGACAAACACCACAATCCGGGAGACTAGTTGAGTGCCCATGATTGCGGATTCTGCCTTCATAAAAACGACATATAACCGGCGATACTGGTCGACTCTTAATTAAGCTGTCGAATACCAGCAGATTGAAGGCCAGCAGACTGCTGATGAGGCCCATCACCCGGGCCGTGGTGACCAGGCACATGGCATTGCTCTTGGACTGGCGGATGGCGTTGTCGGCGCACAGGGCCAGAATACCACTGACGATGTAGACGATACCGGAGAAATAGCCGGTATACCAGGTTAGCGAGCAACCCCAATTCTATCCCATTCCTGTAAATGGTGACGTCTTTGATTTGCTGGTAGAAATTATAAGGATTCTTTTACAAGAAAGCAATGTTAAAAATTTTCTGCCCACCTATGACATCACACAGGAAGATTATTATGCCGCAGAGAATTTGAACGCCTCCGCCAGTGGAAAGGAGAGTCACGATTGCGAAGTGTCCTCTAAGAATGGAAAATACCTCCATTCTCAGGAAAATAGTTGCCTATTTTACATTTTTAAGCTACTAGCACGGTTTTTATAGGAGTGCACGACACAGCCAGCTAAATCAGATAAATAGGTAGGTTACGTAATCAGTTAAATAAATAGGTTACGTAATTTCTCAGCAGAAGTACAGATAGTGCAAGCAGTATGCTCTTAATCATCCGTTATACTTAATAGATTTATGCTCTGGAAACGGAAGCCAGCGTATGTACGTATAATGTTTCACACCTCGTTTTCTTGTTGTGCGTACATTCACACCTGCATCTTTTTTTATTCGCGTCAGTAGCAACAAAATTTTTCGCACTTTTTACGTAAATCGTGAGAAACTAAAACACAAGCGAGTTACACAACATCTACAAACACAGGCGGGCGGATGACAGAGAATATTTCGTCTAAATTCGCCGCCGGTGGTGCTGTTCCCATTATAGATGCTGTGTTTCCCCGCTGTATTTCGATGCTGATCCGTTGACGCAGAAACTCTAGTGCTCGCGGTTCGCCTGACTGCTGCTGGATCATCTTTCCTAGCACGTTCAGTAGCTGGGTGGTTTCTGGTCCGAATGTTCCGTAGGTCTCAAAAGCCAGGGGCTTGAACCAGTAATCCTGGGTGATGTTGCGGTATTTCTCGGTCTTGCTCCGCTCGGCTAGCGCTGCTGCCGCTCCGGCTTGAGTGGATGTGGCTGCGATGTATGACAATGCCATGGTGCTGCGGCAGGTTACATCCCAGGCCAGCGCCTTTCCTCTTTCCCACGGGGTAATTGTCACTCCGTCTGGTCGTTTGCCATCTGTACGGGAGATTCCGGGAGGTTCCAGCTCAGTTTCGATTCCGGCCGATGCAAAGGCGCGCTTTATTACCGCTTTGAGGCTTTCGTGGGTCGGTTTCCGTCCGGCACTGAACTTGCAACTTGAACCATGATATCCATGCTCATCCGCTTGGTCACCGCAAATGCACTGGTGTGGTGTGCATACCGGTGCACCAAGGCGCAGCGCTGCAGCCGTCCTTAGGCTGGAGTCGTTTAGTAAGTTCCCGAGGGATGCTGCCGGTAGTGCTTGGAGCCATGCGCCCGCCTCTTTGGTGCTGACTGCCAGCATCCGCGCCTGACTGGCGATATCGTTTTCAAAAGCCCGCTCCAACAGTCTCAGTTGTGACCTTATGATAGGTTCGTCCCACGCTTTCTGCACTCCCCGAACTTCAGATGGTGGCGCGCTTTGATTCGCCATCTGCTGCCATTTGGTGGTCGCTTCACTGCAATACGTCTCCGGCTGGAAATTCGTAATGGCGCAGGCTAAGGGAGCTATTGAATAAGCCGAGGCCAGAAAGGCCGGCAGTGCTAGCTTTACAATGCTCCTAATGCCCAAACCGCCTCTTGAAATCGGAAGTGACGCCTGCGCCCAGATAACGTCGGTGATAGCAGTGTTAGTTATTTTGGACAGGCTATCGCGTATCATGGTGTCAAATTCAGCCAGCAAGGGTTCCTGCAAGTAACATCGACCGGTACGCAGTTTGTAAAGCAGCCTTACCGGTCCCATACTGCATCGCAGTAGATAGAGTGCCTGGTGGGCTGGTACAATTAGCAGACGTTCAGTCATTCGGGCGACTACCTCCGTTGCACTGACGAGCGCCCCGGTAACGGCATCATCATGAAGTGGTGCGCCAAGGTACTGCAAATCCTTCAACGACGGGCACTTCAGGTCAGGAAATGACTGGAGAAAGGCAGCCGTAACCGAGTTGCGGTCTGCTTCGCTTCCCCCAACCACCACTAGCTCACATTTAGCAATGTTTAGTACCAGTCCACGTTTTTCCAAGTCTTCTTTCAGCGTACACAAGTCGTCGAAGACATCGTCCGGCTCTCCACCCAGAGCGTCATCATCCAGAAAGCTTTCACGGAAAGCGGATTTAAGATGTTTATACGATCCAAAGGTTGACGGACAATACAGTAGCGGGCCGAGGGGGTCGCCCTGTTGGATACCCGCCTGGGACGATATACGGTTAGCACCATGGATCAACACAGACGGCGCGCCATAACACTGCCATATATATGGATAATAGTCTGGTAGAAATTCTTTAGTGGATTCAAGGATGCAGTTTCTGTCGAGAGAATTAAACGCATTTTTTACGTCTAATTTGAGGAATACCTGGGGCCTGTCGCATTTCAAACCGTCTTCAATGAAGGATCTGGCGCCATGGACTGCTGCTTCAACACCTCCTTTGGTCGCAAAACCTAGCTGAACTGGTTGCAGAATGTCTGATAAATGGCGTGAGCGGAACGACACAATGCGGGACATGATGCGGCGTAGAGCTAGACCGACGGCGATAGGCCGAATTCCACCGTCTTTCTTCCTAAAGGCAAAAAGGCAAGCGCCGTAGAGCATGGGCCTGATTTCCGAGGGCACTTCTCCCCTCAACATGATGTTCGTTACGCTGGCCAGCGACGCACCAAGCTTTCTTGCTGTTTCACGGTTTTTTATCCCGACCAACTCTTTCAGGTATTGTGGCCTCAGGCCATCGGGACCTGCTGCAGATCCATTAGGGAAAGCTTTAATAGCGTCGACGATCTCTTTGGAGGTAATCTCAGGAGCTGACTGAAGTGCGGCTCCCGGGGGCGGGTGTGTGATCGGGGGGTTGGGAGGGTGTTTTTCGTTCAGGGCAACGAGGGTCTCTGGGGACGGTGGCAGTACTGTTTCCTGGCTGATCAACTGCTGCACCGCCCCCGAGATGTTCCCGTCCTGAAATTTGCGACTGACACGTTTACGGAGGCGTGCGGGATCCTCCGGATCGGGCGGTTGACGTGTAGCGGACTGGCCTTGATTTGCTTCAGGGGCGACGTTTCCACGAAGATTCTGGCGTATAATTTTAGGGTAAGACACTTTCGTTCGCGTACCTGTGGCACTTCTTGGTTGCCCAAGGGCTGCGTAGCTGAACGTCAGCAGGTTGGCCCAGGCAGCGGTATTGCGTATTCACACCTTGTATTGCGTATTGTACATTCATGACATTTATGCCTGCAAACCGATGGTGAGACGCAGATCATGTACTTGATAGCAAGCTGGCTGCCATGCACAGAAACGCGACGACAGACAGCACGCCTCGACAAATAATCTTTAATAAATCGTAGATCTATGAAAAGATGACACATCTAGCGAAAACACAAATATGCCCCAGCAGGGCGCAATCTAAAGGGCACAAACAAGGAAATATCGGCAAACCGTTGACGAGGATGATCCGAGTACCGTGCGCTCCAACAACCGCTCGACTGATCGACTCTGTCGTAGACAGACACACGTTCGACTCTGCCAAAGGCAGACACGATCGACGGTTCAGCGTGCCGTGTCGAGCCAAAGCTGAATCCTAGCGACAACCACACTCACATCCCTGAGCACAGCGCTCGCGGCTCTAACATACTGATGCATAGGTAAAACAAGCACTAGCCGATTACTGCGATAACAGATGAACTACTGCCAACGAGTGTGGACGCGGAAGGAAATCAGTTCAGATCGAGTGACGGTTTTCGGGTATTTGCGGGAGTTTTTCGGCGAATGAGATTGAAACCGTTGTCATCGGTGATGGATAGGATAATGAAACATGAAAATCAGCGAGAAAATCAAAACATCTGGTATAATAATAGTAAGAATCTTTCTATTATACGCAACGGTAAGGATTAGCTTGTCGTCGCTACCTCGAGATTATGTCTACCGGTACAGGCATCTGAAAAAAGGGCTTCGAAAACAGACGTTTTTAACACAAACTGCGTATTGCAAATTTTCCAGAAATTCTTTAAAGTATACTAAATCTGATGGCATTAGTAGTTTTTGGTTTATTTTTGGTTGGTTCGACTCAGTGTTTACGAGTTTACAGTTCGATTCAGACTATAGAGTTTCATAGCTCTATTCCTTGACAAATTATTTATAAGAAACTTATCGTCACAGATTCACTGTTTAAGAAATTTGTGGGGTAAATGTTCTCGCCTTCTCGGTAAACGAAATGTCTTCGTAAACGGGCGGTCATTCAATAGTATGTGTGTCACTTTTGCGGTCATCGTCGTCGCTCGAACCACCCTGCGATGACAAGGAACAAAATTTATGAGATAATATAAAATTAACCTCCAGAAACCTAATTGCACATAAAAACGGGTTGTGTTTTAGCTTCTGTCTAGCGCTTTAAGCGATGGCGGTTTATCGAATGCGGCGAGTACCAACATTTGCTCTGATGCGGACATAATTAATAACTTCCTAAACCTTCTTTGTGGCTCTTCTTCTCGTACGAGTACAACCTCGTTTCCTGGCTATGCCTTTCTGTGCAAAAGAGCAACCATGAACAGCAAATTGAAATAAATGCCGCGTTTGAATCATTTGTCTGACGCGCGCCGGAAGTGCATAGGATGCATGGCAGGTATGCGTTTACTTACGGTAAATTAGCGCTGTCATGTTGCTGTGGGGGTAGACTGGAGCATTCCGCCGACAATAGGTGCGGCGCGTTGTGCAGTTTGCTGCCGCCATGAGAGCGGGAGATCCTTAACAATGCGACACTGTTTACTACACCTTACCGGCTTTAGGACGTACAGCGATGCTCTCATACAGCCACAAGTACTCACACAGCAGAAATTCAAAAATTTGCAATCGGACGCTATGGCACTATCTGTACGCGTAGGTATTCGTTAACAGAAATCTCTCAGATTTTCTGTTAAGTCATTGTATCGATGTGCATGACCTGTGGTATCTACGATCGATGTTCTCGCTTTTACACATTAATTTTCAAGTCTTGTATTGCCTGAAAGTGGGGTATCCAAGGCCTCCCGGCTGTAAATGGGTCATGACAGTCATTTATTTTGCACAATTATAAGGAAAAGATGCGCAATGATATTGTCACGGTGTATACTGTAACCGCCCATGAAGGCGATTAGCTATGGAAGTGTCCCTGTTAATGGATTTTGGTCTGAATTAGGAGTGTCTCTGATCTTGATTTATCCATTTTCATGTATTTTCTCCCATTTATCCCCTTTTATGAATAAAAGCTATTATTTCGGGACACCCCATGTTTCCCCATATTGTAGATTTATAGGATATAGGTAGCACTACCTATCACAAATGGCGCTCCTGGTTTGAACAATGTACCAGCCTTTCGGTGGCTGCGGTCTTGCCCCAGCCCAATTTGGGTCGCCGATGCCGATGGCCTACCCTTCAGTTTCCCGGCCACTTCCGCCGCCTTCAGCGGCATATTCTGGATCTCCGACATCTGCGTGGGAGCGTGCGGCTTCCGCATGCCCGACAGACGACATATCAGTGGATTACGGACTGCCCGAAACGAACGCCTTCCTCTACGAGGCCCGTGCCGTTCCACACCGTATCTCGTACTATTCTAAGGGTTCTTCCAACCCCACCCTTCTGCTAATGAACATCTTCCTACTACGATGCTCTTACCCGAAGAAAGCTACAGGGCTTGTTATGTGCCCGACATAGCCCAACAGGTGAGCCAGTACATTCCTTGCAGGGCTGGCCACGTCGATGGTATGGGACCCGTCGCAGTTTTCAGTTCAGGTGAGCACCGGGCCGCCCAGATGGAAAAAGAGCTAGCTGCTCTTAGGAAAGAGAAAGAGCATTACTAGGCGGCCGTAGTTCAGCTCGAACGAGAACGGAACTTCTACAAAGGGGTGGCCGAGAGAAGTCGAGCGCTTTTGCAAGAAATGCAGAGTGGCGCAACCCCTTCGAATTCTGTATCCATCAGTGGCGCGAAGCAGGCCACAACAGGGTATGTTCCTGTTTCGTCTCAACATGCTAAGCGCACCACTCCGCCCCAACCCCTGCGAGCAGCGCAAACTGTTGTAGAGCGCACAGCTTTGGTTACGCCAAAACCAGATAAGAAGGCTATAATGGCAAACTGTGCCATTCCGTTGGCAAAAGTGGCAGTCATGGAGGACAGTGCCATCTCGGCCCCTAGCAGTGCGCCGGCGCAAACCACTACTCTGCCACCGTCTTCTTTAATTGTAGTCAATACCATTTCAAGCAATCCAAAGGGTACGAGAAATTACCCATTATCCTGCCTGTCTACTTGCCGAAAAGCAGTCCGACTACCCTGCGGAAAAGTGGTAAACTGCCGTGCACCACTAATAGATCTTCGGGCGATGGATCTAGCCGCCGAACTGAGTCGCATTGCGGCTCTAAGGCGACACCGTACCGCACGCGAGTTTCCATACGCCCGTCCGCTGCTGACATTGCGCGCTAGCCCAGCTACGTTGCCGCGTTCAAAAAACTTCCCGCAGCAGTAACTCGGAGGTTTACTGCTGCGTACGGGAGGCAATGCCCTCCATTGTCAGAGAAGGCCAAGGCGGAGTGGAACCGTCTTCTTCTCGGGTGCTGGACCGCAGTGCGGGTAAGTCCTGCATTGCGCATGGCGGACGTCGTGAATGTTCATGCACGGAGCAGGGTGTGGAAGGATCCTGACAAGATGCGTTCTGTTATGGCACCGCAAAAGGGCCACATGAGGCCCTTGACACTGTCCTGCTTCCAGTCACCTTCCTCGGATGATGCTAGTAGGAAGCAAATGCTCGCCAGAGAGAGAAGCGGTCACTCTTTTGTTGTTCAGTTTGTGTTTAAGAGCATGTGGTACTCTTTGTGTTCTGTTTTCATACGAGCTGAGGGCAGCCCTTGTTGGAAGGAGGGGCATGTGTCACGGTGTATACTGTAACCGCCTGTGAAGGCGATTAGCTATGGAAGTGTCCCTGTTAATGGATTTTGGTCTGAATTAGGAGTGTCTCTGATCTTGATTTATCCATTTTTATGTATTTTCTCCCATTTATCCCCTTTTATGAATAAAAGCTATTATTTAGGGACACCCCATGTTTCGCCATATTGTAGATTTATAGGATATAGGTAGCACTACCTATGACAATATACAGATAGTATGCTCTTAAAATTACGTATGAGTGCCTGCTTTGTCTTAAAAATGCAGTATATGCCTCGCAGCACAAGCCCACAAGTTTTCATCGTAAATGGTTATACTTTGAGTATCTTTTAAACAAACTGTGCCGAACTCTTTTTAGGCTCTGCGCAGCTCATATAACTTTCAAAACACTGTTTTTTTAGCTCAGGCCTCAGAGTAATGGTTTACTTTTTGCGAAAGGGTCATGTAATGTAGTTTACATGGTTAATTAACGAAGTCTGAAGTGTACAGGGCGTTTAATTAAAACAATCACAAAGAAATCACAAATACAGCTTATACAAAGGATTTGGCAAGCGAGCGTCAAGCATTAGCATGCAAATTATAGGACATTTCGTGACGTTTCAGAAAAAGAGCAAACAAATTAAATGGGCAAGAGTTTGGCATAGCAAGTCTGGCAATGAACGGTTTGCAGTACTTAAAATATGGATCGACGTATTGAAATATGCCGTGACAGTCATCTTATAGAGCATTATGACGTGAACCACGCATTCGACCCGATCACGGCATGTTATGCCGCTTGCTTGCCGGGAGGCATCGTGACGGTGGTGGTGGTGGTGGTGGCTGTATTTCCGGCAGTAGCGGGAATGGGCGCACTGATGTTCTTGGAGCTGTACACGCAGGCCGTGATACTGGCGATCAGCATAACGATCTGGAAGGCCAGCTGCGCCCCGACAATACCGCACCATCCGGTCTTGAGGAGGCCTGTCAAATACTTGGCATAGGCGTCGACTACAACGCAGTCGTAGACCGCGAGACCAAAGGCCAGGAGACTGCAGATGATGCCCATCACCAGGACGGTGATGGCCAGGCACACGGTATTGCTTTTAGACTGACGGGCAGCACTGACAGCGGATCGGGTCACAATTCCGGTGATGAAGTAGATGATGCCGGAGACAAAGCCGGTGTACTTGGTCAGGGAGATGCCCCACCACATCCCCATTCCTGTAATATCGAACATGCTCTCTGAATACTACCCGCTGCGCTCTTTGATATCGTGCAGCCAAACTTAATCAACAACGGTGGCATTAATTATTACACATCATATTTTTACACCGGTCACCAAATAAAAACAATTTTAATTTTTCTCATTTCAGGCCAAATAGGTAGTATTAGGTACATAATAGATTCACCAAACAAGCAATTAACGCGAAGCTGCCAATCCTTTGTGAAATCTTCCGAAATTTTGCGATAAAAGCAAATTGTCAGAATACTTTATTTATCATGCAATATACAGGAGCTGCTTTTAAGTTGCGGCAGTTGCGGCATACGCTTCAGTTATTAAAATCGTATATATACATGGCACTCTTACGCTGAATAATTTAATTATTTGTACAGAAAAACGAAATTATATAACGTGCGAGAATGTAATAAATGATTGATGATTTCCATCTTTACCGATGACATCACAGATGAAGATGATGATACCGCAAAGAATTTGCACCGCTCCGGCAATGGAAAGGCTCATGATTGTGGAGAACCTAGTAACGCTTTACAATGATGTAATGTTGGACGCCGTTGCAAAAAATAAATCACGCTCGCGAATGGTTACGCTGCCAACTTTCGATCAAATGGTTATAAGATGCACTGGTATGCAATGCATCCATAAGCTGCACTGGTAAACGTCACAATATGATCTGAGTGGAAAAGCCAACGCGGTGCCGCCGGTGGATCGATACGCCCGGTAACCGGCATGAATAACTGCACCTGACGATCTTCCCGGAACGAGGGCATTTAATCCGCTCATCACGCTATGATGACATCAGGGAAAATGACTCAGAAAATCTATGGACTTAATTATTTTTTCCGTTGACTGCTTCTTCGGCTTCCTTGCGTGGCTGAATATCACGGGAGCCATCGCACCGACAGCAGAAAACGATGCAGCCGCAACATAATAACAATGAGACGTGGATAAAGTGGAAGACATTATCCATCATTATGACGCCTCGGTTAACATCGAGGCAGCGATATTCCATTCTGTTCAAATGACCCCGTTCGCAGTGAATTAAATTTTTATGCAATTCTGTTTCGAATTTATCAAATTGTTTTTTTCTGGTTGTTTTTGACCGAATGTAAAACGCCCTCAACATTGTTTTACGGTTCACGCTGCAACGAGCTTCCCAGCACATGACGGCCGACATATGCTGGAAATGAATAACGTTTGCTATTCCTTAAATGTTGAACTAAAATGAATATTGTTTACTGGTATTATTCCTATTTACATTACTTTGGAGGAAATCTCAGGTTTCCCTCTCATATGCTACGCGAATAAGTGTGCCATCGCTCAGCTGCCGTTTATGCGATGCAATTTAAAGGTGACTGTGCATTTAGAACCGGCTTTGTGGCTCCATCGCAATCGTTTTGAAAACCCAAGGTATTGCCGGAAGATATAGAAGGCATGGTGACTCAGTATCTCCGCTTACGTGTAATATTATATTTTGCGTGCGCGAAGCAGAGCACTACAACGTTGTTAATCAGAACACCGAGAGCAAACGAGGAAGGCAGCGACAGCGACACTCATAGTTTTCAAATTGTTGCCAGTATCGAATAAGGTCAAATTGGGGGGTCGTTCTCTCGATCTTGATGGCAGTGAGCCGTTTGACCTCTATTCAATTTTGCATGCACTCTAAAACTGGTCAGTCGCTCGCGCCTGTTTATGCCTTAATAATAATCTGAAACGCTACAGGACAGTGGCGAAAGGTCAAACCGCTTACAGGAAATGCAATCTGCATACGGCCGTTTGACCGGATTGTTGGTCACAGCCTTGTGTTTTTGATTCGTATGTTGGTCTAGGAAAACAATTGAATTCGTAATGAACCAGCTTCAAACAGAGTATGATGTGGGCTTGCAATTGTGCTCCGAATTTTAGGATACAGGTGCCTTTATCACTTTTAATCTAAACTCTCGTGCATACAGCACAAATATTTGGAATATCTGTCTCATCGCGTCATGCTGGCGCCACTTGGATTTAATGCGTCGGATTTATTTGCCGGTGCACGAAACAATTTTCAAGTACTTACGTATTGTACATGGGTTTTCAGGTTCGTATTGTACATATCCCGGGAAAGATAACTCGGCTGCCAACGCGCTTTCAAGGAACAATTTCGATCTGCTCCGCCAACTTATTCCATGTTTATTGTGTGTAAACCGCAATTTTTAAAACAAATTTGTTACACGCTGATGCATTTGCTTATAATCTTCTTTATATAGCACGGCTTAAGAAGGACCGGCAGTCGGCTTGCTGATATTCATCCTTTTTTCCTCAGTATTGACATGTTACGGTACATGTACGTACAGAACCAGTATTGTTTTTGACTTACCTGTATGAGTTTTCGCACATGTCTGTACGACGGTGCAGTTGATCCTATGTTAACTGAATTAGTACGAGAGATTCCAGGTTGTAACCTGCTTGAGTTTATCTGATTCTGGAGACAGAATCAGTCGATCGATGTGTGAGCTAGCAAAATAAGATCTAATAAACGTGTGTTGAGATATCCGGATATTCGTGAGTGTTGTGGTAACCTTCGTAAAGACAACTAGGGATAGTTATCTGAGCGGAAGTCAGCGTGTGTGAGTCGGAAGTAACATCATCCGACTAAATCTGGGACAACAACATCGTCCTAGCAGGATCCTGAGTGTGTGTGTACGCGCGTGTGTGAGGGAAATATTAGTGCTAATATTTCCATGGTGTTTCCATTATTGTACAAGCTTGTCGACAAATTGAGCAAGTAAAGGAACAGGTAAAGCGATATTAGCGCGAAGTTGCCGCTTGAATGATGGCCACTGCACTACGTTTATTACAATGCGTAACTGCGCTTCGCAGTTAGATTGCCCGTTACTGCACCGACCGTTTTCTAGCCGTAGCCACATTCCGCCAGGCAGTTACAATTATTCTCATTAAAATATCTGGCGCGTACCAAGCCACCAGCCAGCCAAATGCATGTTACGTGTTCAAACAGTGTGGCGCGGCGCGTCGTAGTACGGATTTACGCGCAACCCCTCAATTTGCAATGTTCGCTGTTCTGACGAATGCTCAATTTCTCGACAAGCTTGTACATCTAGAGCATATTCCATCTTTATTGCCTGAGTAAGGTTGGTCATACTGCTGTATTTGTGAGTACAAATACTCCAGATTATGTCAGTATGCTTCGGCAAATTTTAATGATTTTATGCTGGATGCTTTATGCATGCTGATTCTTGCTTGTGCTGATTTGCACAAATCATAATCTCAATTTTAACTCATTTTGGTAATTCATAAACAAACACTGCAGGCAAATCCTGTCGCCATTGCACATGTACTGAAAGGTCAAAACGTAACCCGAGCATTTCTTCTCAAACAAATTTTGTGGAAAATATTTTTACAAATTACATAAACGGAAATTAAGTATGTAGTTAGCGTGCTTCAGTTATTACCCCGTGTGTGCTTTTCGACTCTACTCATTTCTTTCGCCGAAATATAAGATGTTAACCAAAAAATTAATCGAATTCATTCGAATAAACCGGCCGTCCACCACACGAAACGCGGAGGCGAAACCAGAGCCGTTTTTGGTATTCCGGAAAAATTTAATTTAAAAAAATTCTACCGACCCGTTTTAATGTTCTGAATAGCCCATAAAGTTATAGCTTCCAAGCTATATGAACTTTGAATGAGCACGGAATACCGATAAATTTAAGCAGAAAGGTCAAGTACAACGTAGTTTGCGATATGTTCGATTAAGAGCGTGTAGCAAGTCAACAACAGGGAAAAATGAGGAGCAGGAGAGAGGCCAGCATTATAGCATACGAGTTATAAGATTGACTTCGTGGAACTTCAGAAAAAGAGCGAGCAGTCAAGATGGGCAACAGCGAGAGTAGCGAGTCAGCGATTAGACAGTTCGCAGTTAATGGAAGGTATTTTAGATCGGGTAATAATGTGGACACAGTAATTTTTCATTGTGACTCCAGTGTATGCCGTCTCCTTGTCGGGTGCCATCGTCGCGGTGGCAGTGGTGGTCGTCACAGTGTGGTCGGCTGTATTGCCGTCACTGGCAGAACTGGGCGCACCGAAGTTCTTGGTGCTGCACACACAGGCGGTGATACTGGCGATCAGCATAGCAATCTGGAAAGCCAGTTGCGTGCTGGCAATACCGGACGGTGTGGTCGCGATGTGACTAGCGGTATCTTGCCAAAGCCGTTGACAATAACGCTGTCGCAGATCAGCAGGCCAAAGGCCAGCAGGCTGCTGATGATGCCCAATGCCCATCACCAGGACCGTGATGGCCAGGCACATGGCATTGCTCTTGGATAGGCGGACTGCATTTGCGGCGCAACGAGTCAGAATGCTGCTTATGAAGTAGATGATCCCGGAAGCAAAGCCGGTGTACTTGGTCAGTGAGTATTTCGCTGACCACATCCCCATCCCCATTTCTGAAATTAATATGGAACAGGCATGTTTCTGAGCACCCGTTACGCGCTACTTCCGCTGCGATGTGATACTGATGCACAATGTTCTATTTGGCAAACAACGATGGCAGCATAGCTTCATAGTGCTTTTATAAAAACAGTTCAGCAAATAAAAAGCTACAACATTTCTGGATGCATCTCAGCGTTTAGAAGCTTTCAATTACCGAAGAAACAGCTATTGCAACTTTGTTCGTACGCTTCTAGTGCAATTACGCAATATTTTACCAAGACTAGTATTTTAGTAACAGAAAGAAAAAGTCTTAGCGAATGCCTTCTCATACCATACACTGTAATTACTATTATTTCAACGCTTCGTTTATTAACATTGACGCAAATACATGCTACAAACAACAGATTTATACAAAAAAACATGATCATAATTAAAGATTTCCATCTTTACCGATGACATCACAGATGAAGATTATAATCCCGCACAGAATTTGTACCGCTCCAGCAGTGGACAGGCTCATGATTGTAGCCGCATGGTATCTTCAAGTTGTTTACAAATAGTTGGTGTTGGGTGCCGTTCTAAAAAAAAATCACGTTCGTGAGTGGTGGCGTAGCCAGCTTTTTGATCAGATATTAATCAACTATGTATCTACAAACTGTACTGGTAAGCGCCGCATCATAATCTGAAAGGCGGAAGTGGCAGTATCAGTTGATCGATGCGCCCGGTAACCGGCATGGGCGGCGCACCTGACGAACTTTCTGGAACAAAGGCAACACATGGCCTAAATCCGATTATCTAGCCACAACACACCTATGGCACACTTCGAACATGGTTATTTTTTTGGATCAACATTCTTGGCTTGTAGTCACGTTAGCGACCGTAGTCAAATGTAGCCTCCGTCGCTACCTCTTGTACTTCCAGTAACCGGTACTCTATTTTGTCTCATGTAGCAACCGAAGTGCTTTGTAATCACTTGTAATTTGTAGCCATCAGTAGCCCATGTAGTCTTATGTAGCCACTGAACCTTTGGGTAGTCTCTGTATTTTGTGTAGCCACCAGTAGTCCATGTAGTCTTATGTAGCCGCTGAACTTTTATGTAGTCCATTGTAGTCTTATGTAGCCGCTGAAGTCTCTTTATTTTGTGTAGCCACCAGTAGTCTATATAGTCTTATATAGCCACAAAAGTTGTGCGTAGTAAGTATTATGGCACACATCCTATCACTATTAATTTTTTTGGGTTCATATTATGTCACATTAAGCACCGTGGTTTGCTGGACACCTTTGTTGCTGGCCACTATTTTCTCTCTGGGTGATATGCCCGTTGTTTTCACCCATCCGCTATTCCCGCGTGTTGCCCTATTATTGTCGCTTACCCAGCCCCTTCTGGATCCGCTCTTTTTCGCATTGAGCTTGTGCTCTTTTCGGGATTCGTGGATGGCCGCACTCCGCAAACTGTGGAACTGTTTTACGCATAATACGCGATATGTATGCGTTGTATATTACTATATTACAATTACAAACACTTTGTAACAGCCTTATTCAACACTATATGAGTAGAAGTTGAGTTTTCGCTTTCCAGCTGTTGCTGATTATTCTTTCCTTTGCCTTTCTGGGCGTGAAATAAAAACACCGGCTTGCTTAACATTGCATCGATAAACTAAGTTTGCGATGTCAGAGCTGCAAGACGTAACTTGGTATCTGTATAAGATTACGGCGCTTGTACCTCTGCCGCACGTCCACGCGCAATTGGTTGTACAGTTTATTTTCACGATATTATTGTGTTGATGTTAGTGGTTCACCACATTGCGCATCACGTAACACTTTTCCAGTTCCATAAATGCATTCCCACAGAAAGTATGCTTTGGCGATGGCAATGTGTTCTTTCGCTGCAAAAAAATGTCATTCACAACCACCCGCTGCTAGTTTTCTACTATGTGCACTGAGGAACGAGCTGCATCCATGACAGTCCGAGTGACGCGCCGATATGCTAAGTTGATCGGGAGTACCTTTGCATGGCGGGATATTTTTAGACTCTGTCCATTACGCAGGAGCATTTGAGGAGTATGTTTTAGTCTACTTCATGGTTAAGCATGAATGCATAATGATCGGACGTAATGATAAATATCGCCACACGGGTTTGGTGACGCGGCTGATGCCGGTTTACACTTTACACCGAGAACGCTAGCTGAGTCGATTTTGCTGCTGCAGTTATCAAATAAATTCTGCTTAATATACTCTTATCTGTTGTAGCTTCTCCCAGTAAAGTCTGAGCGTAATTACTTCCCCTCCACCGACATTAGAGAATATTATCCACTATCATGGCACTTTCCACTTCAGGAGGCGTTCAAAGTTTTTGCGGCATTGTCATTTTTATATGCGATGTCGTAGGTATTCAGCAAACTCCTTGGAATTTATTTCTACTGAATATTTGTATTAATAATCTTAGGCATTCAAAATTCAAAATTTTATATAAGAAATATATGTTTTGATTACAGGAATGGCACTGTATGATGGCGCTCGTCTTACCTTATACACGGGTTTTGCCTCCGGCCTCGTCTATATTGTCTGCGGTATTGTGGCCCTGTGCGCATCTCAAGCTGTCAGCCGGTCAAAACCAAACGCCCCATGCCTGGCCATCACCGTTCTAATGCTGAGCATCAACAGCAGCCTACTGGCTTTTGGCCTGCTGGTGTACGACAGCGTAATTCTCGACAGTTATGTTCAGCGCTCGGTCGTCTTCGTCATGACGGGAAGGTCCAGACTCATCGTCATTGAGCTTGCCTTCCAGGCTCTGGCCTTGATCGCCAGCTGCACGGTCTGCGTGTACAGCTCTAAAAACATCACGGGGGCCATCGCCACCGTTGCCACCAGGACACCCGTCAATTATCCGACATGATCAATCGCTGGAGCGAGACAAGCTGACACGTCGACATTGCATACCCTAACGTCCAATGTTCAGTCTGCATTTTTAGCGTTTGCACGGTGGCAGTGTCCATACGACCGTCCCTACCCGATTACTCATTGTTAGATTCGCTTTTCCGTTCTTCTCCATATCTTACTTGTTTCCTCTTTTGTAAAATGTCACAAAATCAGTCTCGCAGCGCGAAAGTCTGTCTTTTCCTAAGTATTGGCTGACTGAATAATTTAACTGGTAATCGACCAAAGCGTAGCGAAGGTCCTCGCCAAAGTATACGCATTTTCTCGCCAGAGTGTGCACATCGCCTGGCTACACAATGCCATAAATTTATGCAAAAAAGTGCTTCTGAGCGCGGGGAAAGCAAAAGTTTTTGTGCATACACGCGAATGCGGCGCTATGTACCGGGTTCACTTCCATTTAGTGGTCAACCGCTATTGTAGTTTTTTTTTTTACATTTAGCGGTCAATTTCGAAAATAGCGGTTGACCGCTACATTTAGCGGTCAACCGCTATTTTCGAAACAACTAGCCGAATAAAGCAATAGCAAAGTACGGCTGTGTTTTTATTTGTGGGTACGGTATTACTTACTATGGCAAACGTGATCACGAGATTCACGACACATGTAAAACTTGCACTAGATTGTCGATGACGAGTTGACATAACCTTTTCAGCTAATAAATACACCGCTTTTCAACCATTTTATTGTAAATAACAGTTACTAGCAAATAACAAATAAGCATGCTTACGTAAGTAACGTAACCGCCTCAGCGGAAAATACCGGAAACGTTTGAATTATGTTCTATCAGTCTAAGACAGTCGGTTAAGGCAGCATGAGCTTTGAAAAGGCAAAAGCATAGACTACGAATCTGCACCGCTTTCACTTCCTAATCTGATTATAAAGCAGCAGTGTCTGGTTGTAGCCGTGAGAATTTTGAATTAAAAAAGTTAGATCGCACCGTATCGCTGTATGATTTACTTACTCGGTGACAATGTACGAGACTGTAACTATCTGATCGGCAAAAATTGCAGGTTAACAGTAAGCAGAATGCGTCGTCGTGGCCCGTTACACGTCCGCGCACTGCTGTACCAATGTACTTTGTATTTCTGCCTACGGAAAATAAGCGCTCACCGTACCGGTCATGCTGTCAGACGGAAAGAAAGCATCCCTAACGAAGAAAAATATCTTTCCGGTAATTAAACCTACAATTGGTTTCACGCAAGGAGTGTATTTCTTATAAGCAGGAGTTCCCTGGTTTCTTGATAGGAATGGTTTAATATCGCACTGCAGAATAATTCTTCGTAGCCAAAGCACCGACTAGGCAATGTGGCGTGCGAATGGTGCCATATCCCTTACACTGCTAGTTGTTTTATGGAAAGTTGGCGCTGCAACAAGCTCCGGGGATGCAGAAAACAAAACGCGCTCCCAATCGTCGCCTGCCGGAACCATCAGTGAGGCGTGTCAGTTTCCATCCTGCAAAGAAATAGGTTGGTTGGCATGATTTCTTCCCGTCTGGTTAACTCATCATGTATTTGCTCAATAAACGGAAACATCCTCCGCTATAAGAAACAAACATTTTTAGCCGATCATGGCTTTGCGGGCGGTATAAAGATACTCTGCTCCTGTCTGACTTATTGATCTAGGAATAGATTTAGCCGCTAAGATTTTTCTAGCTGCCAAATTCCTCGACAGGATCAGTCCCGATATCGATCCATGCAGTGATTTTTACGAATACAGCTGCGGAAAGTGGCTAGATGCGCAAGACGACGGGACCAGCGAGTTTGTTAAACTCGAGCTAAAAACCCGTGAAATGGGCAAAAGTAGGCAATCAGTGAGCTTTGTCGCCGTATAAACACTCCATCCAGTTTTTTTTCTGTTTTAGAACTTCTAAACGGAGACGTGAAACCTCGTGGCGCAGCATTTTTAGCCGAAGCCAAGATAAAAGCGCTGTACAAGCAGTGCACTGACTCCGGTAAGAAGGAACCAAAATATCTACAGGAAACAAGGTTGCAACAATATATATCCTTGTGAAATTTCCGATGCGGCGCTTTCGGAGCTGCATTCGCAGTCATCGGCGAAAAAGGATAGTATGCTCTGGCAGTTCGCCACATCGCATAATGCGTACGCTGTCGAAGAATACACTTTTGCAGAAGAGATCAACCGGCTGCGCGGTACGCCCATTATTGAGATCCTCCACGAGTTCAACGGAGGATGGCCGTTCCTCTCACCGGACTGGGACGCATCCCGTTTTAACGTCATGGACGCTCTGGTCAGCAATATGTTTTTCGGCAGCGACCCGTTCTTCTCTGTGCTCATCACCGGGGACAGGCAACAGCCGTCGGTCAATCGGATTGTATTATATTCTATGACAGCATTCGCCAAGACCGACATACTCCTCGATGCGGACTCCGCAGCAGCGGCTGCGATGGACTATGGGTACAAAATTGCCTCTGTCATCGCGCGCATGCAGCGTGATCAAAACCAGTCCCTTAGCCTCGAAGCCATGCAGTTTAACATCGAAGCCCTGAAGCCCAACATCACAGATATAATTGAAATCGAACAGTTTTTAGGCAAGGTAAATGTCACTACAGCACAACGTACCCTGACGCATATTCACGGACCACACATTTTTGGCAACCACGCCGTTGCTACTTTCACAGGAGTTCCTTCGAGGCGTGAAGTCATCAAAGCACGCGTTATGGTTTAAATCAGCAATATTCCTAGATATTTTGTTGTCAACAAATTTTTGGTTTTTTCTTCCAGAAAGTCTGAATATTTTTGTCAATCTTAAGACGAAAAAGCCATTTTTCTGCGAATAAATGTTTTTTTGAATTTCCTTGCTTTTCTGTCGAACATTAATGGTTCTGGGGATTAAGCGAAGGAAAACCTTCTGATAAATCATATCGAAGTGGCTATTTTGCCGCACTGGGAAAAAATGCGGCAAAATAGCTTTAGCCAAATCATATTTACAGGTCCAACTGACAGCGGTGGAAATGACTAATGACACCATCATGGTCAACAAATTTTCTCTGAAGTCCTTCAAAGCACACTACAATTTCCGCTCGGCCATTCTGCGTAACATCACCGAGTACATTCAGGCGATTTTTGCCGTCGCCAATAGTTCCGAAGCCATCAGCGATGATACGATCATCATTGTGCCTGATACGCGTTATTGGCCGGCACTAGATGCAAAGCTCATCGAGCTCGAGGAACATGGAACGGAGGGCCGGCGTCGTATGGCCAACTACATCGGTTGGAAGCTGATTGAAAATGTCTTGAATTATCTGCCCGCAGAGTACTCGTTCGATCATAGCGACCGGACGTCTTTCAACGTCAACGACACCTGCCTGGATATCATGAAGGAAACGATGCCGCTGGCATTGGGTACGCTGTTCGTCAGGGATGTGGTTCCGAAAGACATGAAGAAAAATGTCAGTGCAAGGGATTGTTTTGTCGTGATTAACCGATGCTGCTTTATAGTCTGCTGATGTGCTGTGAACTTTGCAGGCCACGCTGATGATTAACGACATTCGTGCCGGATTCCGGGAGCTCCTGGACGCTGCCGACTGGATGGACAACGCAACGCACGCTACCGCAGTGGACAAATTAGCGAAGATGGTAGACAGTGTGGCGTACCCGGACGTGATGGTGACCAATGTTTCGGCTATTGATTCATACTATGATACAGTAATATACGATCGACATGCTTAATCTGCTGAGCAAAGTCATGACGCTGTGCTACTGTAGATGCCGATTCAAGCCACGTTTATGGGCAGCATTCTACAAACGAAGAAGAATAATCTGATTCGCCAACTGCGAACCATAACGCAATCGCGTCGTCGTTATGATCCACTGGCGGTGAGAGACACGCAGGATATCAGCGTCATCAACGCGTGGTACCTTGTGCCTCGAAATGCACTAAGTACGAACAGCTCTTGCAATGTATCGAGCGAGCGTTCATACAACGTTATTGGGTCTCGTTAGTCGATAATGTGCCAGAAAATGTTGCAGTAATTCCTGCCGGCATTTTACGGATTCCCTTCTTCGAGACATCCGCACCGCAGTATCTGAATTACGGCGGCATCGGCACGATTATCGGACATGAAATCACTCACGGATTCGATGAATTCGGCGCCAAGTACGACGCGGACGGTGTGCGACGCGTATGGTGGACCAGCGCCACAGTGGTGGAGCACGAGCGACGCGTCGGAGGAATGATTCAACAGTACAACCAGTACACGGTGCCCACGGGAAAGGTCAACGGCGCGCTCACCTCCGCCGAGAATGTCGCGGACAATGGGGGAATGAAGGCGGCACTCCGAGTAAGTCTGCACTTTATACGGTAGTTGTTAATGCTGCCGCTTCTTGAACGCGTTTGTTACCGGCAAAACCAACCAAACGAGAAAAATGTCCGCCGATCCGTAAAAAAACGGTTGCTAAAAACTTGTCTGCCGCGTTTCTTCTGCACCTTTCGACATTGCGAGCTGCGGTGATACCAGTTTCCACCTGGACGGCCTAGTCAGTTGGGTGACAGACAGTTTCGCAGAACTGAAATATGTCCGGGTGAAAATCGTTATCCCATCAGATCACACATCATCACAGTATCGAAAAAAATGCAGAAAAATGCGGGGACATAATGTTTGCAGCGGTTGCTTTCTTGGACCGGGCGCAGTTCTGCCGGCTGACCGGCACAAGACCCCGGAGAACAATTCTTTCGCTCGCACGGTTTTAACGGTTGCGGACGCTTAGGCAATGTTACAGATTATGACGAATTTGATTTTGGCCATTTAATTTGTGTCTGATATCGGATATTAGGGATACCTTCGCTATCTTGCGCGGCCTGGTGTTCGCGAACCGCTGCCGCCAGGAATGGACAGTTTTACGCCGCTGCAGCTCTTTTTCCTTTCCGCGGCGCAAGTATGACGTTTTGTTCACGTCAGTAACCAACATCTCCGCTGAATAAGGGCCTACCGTGTTGCAGGTGTGGTGCAGCAAGAGCAGTCCGTATCGTGAGCGACAGAACTTACTGACCGATCGGCACGCACCGACTAAGTGGCGTGTCAACGGCGTGGTATCCAATATCCCGGAGTTCGCTCAGAGTTTCAACTGCTCCCCGGACGCCCCGATGAATCCCGTCATAAAACAAGGTGTTTGGTAGTACAAATGTGTCGTAGCACAACCGTTTCTTTCGCGCACTGTAAAACTGTCTTTGACGATTTTTGTGCACCACAATTAAACTGGATAAAACGCAGGCGTCACTCACTCATTTTATCTACCTTTCGCCAGTTAGTATTTTGTAGCTCTACGTTTCTGTTTTTTTGCGGCTATTTTGTCGGGAGAAACTTTTCCGATTTACATTCTGAATTCGTTCTTCCATTTTGTAGGCAGATAGTTCGTATAGTAATGTGAAAGAGACTGCGCACATACCATTCCCATTAAACTTTCGTAGTACTTCCCTAGAAACCTCTGCTGGTTCTTCCGAAAAGTTCGCCACTTTGCGCTCTCGTACGATACGCCACGGCGTCTTTCACGGGCAGTGCCTTTCGGCTGTTCCTGGCACTCTCCTTCTTTTTATGGAGGATTGTCCTTTTGACCTGTCCTCTTTCTGGCCTTCTTCCCAGTATATTTGACATCCGCTGTCCCGGATGGAGTGGCCTGCATCCTTCGCTGTCGTTACGCTCGCGGTGTCGTCACTCTGGACACTTACGCTCCTCTGACACGAAGCTACATCCTTAATCACGCCGTTGTGATGTCTTTGATGAAACGGCGTAATCTTTTATTACGTCCGCTCGGGACAACCGATTAAAGTGCAATCATAGTAACATGGTCCACATTAAGACACGTTGCTATCTGTATGTCCTTAACAATAGATATTACTCATGAGAATCGCCAGTACACTACACAATATCTTTTGACACTTAGACATTTTATTCCGTATTCGGTATGTCAACTAGTACTTAACTACGATACACCGGTCCGCTTTTTATTCTGTACACATTTTTATAGCCTTCCTCAATTTTAGGCGGCAGCACTTTCAAGCAGTACTAGTACCAGAAAAATACCTTGCCTTTTCAGAGCCTTGTTATTTCGACATGTTGGCTTGACCGCTTATCCGATACATAATACATAATTCGAGCGTTTTATGGTATTTTCCGGTGAGACGGTTACGTAAGCATATTTACTAAATTGTTTGCTAGAAACTGGCATTACCGACCAACATAGACTATGACCCTACACCGTTTTTACTTCTAATCTGATTTAAAAGCACCAGTATCTGGTTGTAGCCGTGAGAATTATGAACTGAAAAACTTAGATCGCACCATATCGATATGATTAATTCACTCGGCGAAAATGTTCGAGAATGGCAAGTTAAACAGAATGCGTCGCGGTTACGCGTCCAAGCAATCCTCATTTTGGTCTACTTAGAATAAGCGCTCACAGTACCGGTCAGGTTGTTAAATGAAAAGAGAGTATCTGTACTTCGCTTTGCCCATTATTTTAATCAGTACCGCTTTAGGGATCAATATATTAATCACTTGTACTGCATACAATCTGACTAACTGAGGAGGCTACGGTCTATGTTAAAAAGCCTGCGAACAGCCTTTTTTGCCCGCTGAGGCTGATTGATTAATGCAGCCTCTCTGTTGTGACTATAAATAGACCGAAGACAGAGGATTTCAGTGCTGCCAGAAAGCGCAAGCGGAATGCTGCCTCGTTGTATCGATCGATCGGCACATGTGTGTGCGAGTTGGTTAATCCGCTCGCATTCACTTACACGCGTATGAGTGTGGCTGTCTGTGCGCGTATGAGCTGTACAAACCGGTTTTCGCTGTCTTCGCTAGAACGCACACCCTAAACCCGTAGCTTCCTTTCTTGCTCGCATTGTAGATGCAGTGCTGGTCTTACTGCATAGATTGCACACTGATAAGCTGCGTAGGCTGCGTAGACTAAATGGTAATGCATAGAATGCATTTCAGTCAGCCGTGGTTGTTCATGTAGCCGCCCGCCACAAAGGCTCTCAATTCGGTAAAGTGATTAATATATTGATCCCTAAAGCGGTACTGATTGAAATAATGGGCAAGGCGAAGTAGTGAAGAAACAAGCCTTTCCTGTAATTAAAACTGCAAGTTGTATTCACGCAAGGACAGGTTCAAATTTCTTTTCACCAGGACAGTTTCTTTGTAGCAGCGGTTTAGAATTACTGCAGAATTATTGTTTGCACTGCAGAATTATTGTTCTTTGCAAAAGTACCGACGGGACAATGTGGCGTGCGATATCACTTACACTGCTAGCCGTTTTATGGAAATGTGGCAGTGCAACTTGCTCCGGGAAAGTAGGAAGCAAAACGCCCGCACAATCGCCTCCTGCCGGAATCACCAATGAGGCGTGCCAGTTTCCATCCTGCAAAGAAATAGGTTGATTAGCGCGAACAATTCCCTTATTTGCTAGATTAACAAAACCATGTGCAGCTATAAGAAGAAAACAATCTTCGCAATTGCAGGCCTTCACTGGCGGTATAAATCAAAAATATTTTCTAAGTTTGGTGGTCTATAAATACGAAGTATATTTAGCCGCATAGTTTTTCTAGCTGCCAAATTCCTCGACAGGATCAATCCCAATATCGATCCCTGCGACGATTTTTATGAATACAGCTGTGGCAAGTGGCTGGATGTGCAGGATTTCGGGACCAACGAGTTTGCTAAACTCGAGAAAAAAACCCGCGCAATGGGCAAAAGTATATGGTCAACAGATTTTGTCCTCATGAGAGCGGCTTATCGATTCGAATTCTGGCTTTTCAGAACTTCTGAGTGGGGACGTGAAACCTGCTGGCGCAACATTTGCAGCCGAAACGAAAATAAAAGCGCTTTACAAGCAGTGTACCGACACCGGTAAGACAGTATGTAACCGAAATATTAATGGCCGGACTCACGCTTTCACAGTCACTCAAATCCAAACGAGCTCTCTCTGTATGCGTAATCCGTCAATCAGGGCAACGGTATTCCAGTATTTAATTTCTGGCAATGTGTTCTTCGCCACCCAGCGCAAACATGCGAAGTAGTACAGGAAGGTGCCCAGAGTGCAGCATTACATGACCGTATGCTTTTCCACAATTGCGAGTTTTCGGGGGTGCATTTGCAGTCAGCTGTGTTAGGGATAGTCCGAGGAGACGGTCATTTTGCAGTTCATTTTACGTCGTGAGTTTGCCTTGTTACGCTGTCGAAGGATATTGTCTTTGCAGAAGAGATCAACCGGCTGCGCAGTACGCCCATTATTGAGATCCTCAACGAGTTCAACGGAGGCTGGCCGTTCCTATCACCGGACTGGGACGCATCCCGTTTTAACGTCATGGACGCTCTGGTCAGCAATCTGTTCTTCGGCAGCGACCCGTTCTTCTCCGTGCTCATCACCGGGGACGTGGAACAGCCATCGGTAAATCGGATTGTGTTGGATTCCATGACACCATTCGCTAAGACCAACATACTTCTCGATGAGGACGCCGCAGCAACGGCTGTCATGGATTATCGCTCCAAGATGTTCTCAGTCATCGCGCGTTTGCAGCATGACCAAAACCTGTCGCTCAACATCGAAGCCATGCAGCTTTACATCGAAGCCCTGCAGCCTAACATCACAGATATAATTGAAATTGAACAGCTTCTGGGGAAGGTAAATGTCGCGAGTTGGTACTTGATTTTGAATTACAGCACAACACACCCTGACGCGTATACGCTAACCACAAGTAACGGTAACTGCACCGTTGTTATTTTCACAGCAATTGATTAGGGTAACGTAATCACTAAAGCACGAATTATCTGTATGCCCTAAATCAACGGTGTCTGTAGATATTTTGTTGTTGACCAGTTGCTTCTCTTCCAGAAAATGTGAATATTTTTGTCAATCTTAGGATGAAAGGGTCTTTTTTTGCGGATGAATGCTTTTTCGCATTTCGTTGTTCTCTGCCCAGACACTTGATAGTTTCCGGGATTAACTGAAAGAAAACCTTCTGATAAAGCTTATTTCCAGGTCCAGCTGACTGCTGTGGAAATGACTAACGACACTATTTTTCTCAACAAATTTTCTCTAAAGTCCTTTAAAGCACACTATAATTTCCGCTCGGCCATTCTGCGTAACATTACCGAGTACATTCAAGCGGTGTTTGCCGTGGCCAATCGTTCCGAAGCGATCACGGAGGACACAACCATCATTGTGCCTGACGTGCGTTACTGGCCGGTACTAGATGCGAAGCTCGTCGAACTGGAAGAACAGGGAACGGAGGGTCTGCGTCGCATGGCCAACTATATCGGCTGGAAGCTAATTGACAGTGTCCTGGATTATCTGCCCGTAGAGTACTCGTTCCAGCATAGCGACCGGACTTCTTCTAATGTTAACGACACCTGCCTGGATATTATGAAGAAAACGATGCCGTTGGCGTTGGGAACGCTGTACGTCCGGGATGTGGTTCCGAAAGATATGAAGAGAAATGTCAGTACAAGAGAACCTTTTTGACAGGGTTAACCGATACTGCTTTCAGTGCTTTGTATTCTGCTGATGTGCTATGCCCCTGCAGGCCACTCTGATGATTAACGACATTCGTGCCGGATTCCGCGACCTTCTGGACGCCGCAAGTTGGATGGACAACGCAACGCACGCTGCAGCAGTGGAGAAATTAGCAAAGATGGTAGAAATCGTGGCGTATCCCGACGTTATGGTGACGAATTTTTCGGCAATCGATTCGTATTACGGCACGGTATATATTATACAATACAATTTGCCATCTTTTGACTGATGTCGTGACACAATGTTTATCGTAGATGCCGGTTCAAGCCAGTTTTATGGGCAGCATTCTCCAGACAAAGAAGAACAATCTGATTCGCCAATTGCAAACCCTTACGCACCCGCGTCGTCGTTATGACCCGCTGAGAGACACACAGGACATCAGTGCCGTCAACGCGTGGCAGATAGTGTTTCGGAATACGCTTAGTACGCTTTCACGTTTACTGTACAAAGCCTCACATAGCAGTATTGGGTTCTCCACTGGTCGACAGTCAGTCCAAAAATGTTGCAGTGATTTTGGCCGGCATCCTTCGCATTCCCTTCTTTGAGGCATCCGCACCGCAGTATCTGAATTACGGCGGTATCGGGACGATTATCGGGCACGAAATTACCCATGGCTTCGATGCTTACGGCGCCAAGTACGACGCGGAAGGTGTACGGCGCGTTTGGTGGACCGATGCCACGGTGATCGAACACGAACGGCGCATCAGAGGGATGGTGCAGCAATACAACCAGTACACGGTACCCACAGGAAAGGTTAACGGCGTGTTTACCGCCTTCGAGAATGTCGCGGACAACGGCGGCCTAAAAGCGGCACTCCGTGTAAGTGCGTGCTTTGTCCACAAGTTCTGGTTTCGGCTACAGAATCGCAGTTTTTTTTGCGTGCTTGTAACCGGCAAACCCGACCGAACGGGAGAAACGTCCGCCGAACTGTTAAAACGTTCGGCGAACATTTTTCCCGCCCATTGTTCTCTCCACCTATCCACGTTGCGAGTCGTGCGGGTAACGGTTTTCACCCGGACGTTTTTACCAGAGTGTTAATTTGGGGGCAGATGGTTTTGCAAGAGCGTAAAACCGTTCGCGTGGAAATCATGATCAAAATTGGCCGAATAATGTTAACGCCGGATGCTTTTTTCTACCACCGGACAGTTCTGCGCCAACAGCGTCCGGCAGACTGTTTTTCCATCGGTCCGGTTTTGCCGGTTGCCCAAGCTCGGGCGATATTACAGACAATGATGAAACCTTATTATGAATTTAATTTTGGTCATAATTTGGGCCTGATTTCTGATATTAGGGATACCTTCGCTATCTTGCGCGGCCTGGCATCCGCGAACCGCTTCCGCCCGGAATGGACAATTTCACGCCGTTGCAGCTCTTTTTCCTTTCCGCTGCGCAAGTATGTCGTTTGTGCAGGTATACCATCAAACTGCTGATTAATTAACTACCACGCTGCAGGTGTGGTGCAGCAAGAGCAGTCCGTATCGCGAGCGACAGAACTTACTGACCGATCGCCACGCACCGCCCAAGTGGCGCGTCAACGGTGTGGTATCCAATATCCCGGAGTTCGCTCAGAGCTTCAACTGCTCTCCGAACTCCCCGATGAATCCCGTCATAAAGAACGGTGTTTGGTAGTTAAATTATTCTTAATGCAAATATTTCGCGCACTGTAAAACTGGCTTGGACGATTTTCGGTATCACACTCAGACGAGATAAAATGCAGCCGGCACAGTCTATGCAATAAAGGCAGCCAAGAAATTTTTTTTGTAGTAGTTTTTCATCCTCACCATTTTCAGCCTCAATCACTATAACCGTGAACGGGAAACGCTATAACCGTGAAATCTGAAAAATTGTGGCTTGACCCAATTTACGCTATACAACGGCGCGCTATTATGCGCAGCCTATGCACTGCTCGCTTACGATGTTCACCCGTCCCTGAGACGGGCTTGACGCTTGTATTGTATATTCTGCACCAATTCCCAACACAGAAAGCCCACAGAACCGGTTCCGACTTAATTCGGCAAAGGTAATTGGTTGTTAACGAGTACGTTGGCTAGTTTATGTAACTTCCCGTGTAATTACTGCCTCTAGCCACCGCGGTAATATGATGGTATCCTGTCTAATTAGTGAGTGTCAGCACATGTAGTGACTCACTGGTTTGTACATTCTCAGTTGTTAATGGCAAGCACATACTGGCCTGGAGGAGTCGGCGGTATACTTCCTTCCTTTAAAAGCCAGGAAGAAATAAGCAGTCGCCGTGCACTGCTAGCTTTTTCTGTTGCGAGTTGTGTTAGCTGTGCAATATCCAGGTAGCATAATACCGGCTTGCAGAATGGTGCATTTTACAATTACCCTGCAGTTTACACTACTGGTCGGAGTGCTGGCGCTGTTCTGGCCAGGCTGCATTTCGCGTTGTGCATTTGTCTCCGACAAAGCAGCGGCCAAACGCTCCAGCTTGTCACAGTCGTCGCCAGCCGATGCCAAGGCGGCAATCTGTCGGACCCCAGCCTGCAAGGAAATAGGTGGGTTTCAACTTAGGCTTAAAATTTGCTGTTTGCGCAAAACTTTTTAAGCACTAATATCTTAACTGGATCGCGGAAACTAAATAAATTGGTTGCCCACAGACCACGGTTGTGAGTTTACAGCGTGCTTTCAGCGTTATAATACGAGCTAAGAAAAACACGCTAAATAATTTCCCTGCCACTTGTAGGAGATCAGTTTAGTTTTACGGCAATCCTGACGCCTGACTTGCATGTCTTGCCGAGAGGATAGAGCGATTTCTGGCCAATCCGCGGTCACGTAACAGCTACTTTAAATTTTAAACGGGTATTATTTTATTTTTAGCCTCAAAGTTTCTCACCCGGATTGATACAAGTGTCAATCCCTGCGACGATTTTTACGATTACAGCTGCGGCAAATGGATCAAAGCTCAGAAAGGCGAAGCCGGCGAGTTCGCCAAATTAAACGATAAAACACGGGCTGTCGGCAAAAGTAGGTGTCGCTTATTTTTCTCACCCGGATCAAACGCTACGAATTAAAAAAAACGTCGTTTTATAGAGCTCCTTAGGGGAGACGTGAAACCCGCCGGTCCACCGTTTGCAGCGGAAAAAAAGATGAAAGATCTCTACAAGCAGTGCATTAACACAGGTGAAGATATTCCGCATTATCATCCTTTTCTGTTTGTCTAATGAACGTTAATGAAAGATGTGTGAGCAATCACATAATTATTCTGTTAACCAAAACACCTGATTAACAGCGGAGATTGAAAAGCTACGAGGAGTTCCCATGATAAAAATCCTGAACGAATTCAACGGCGGCTGGCCGATGATTACACCGAACTGGGATGCCTCGAAATTCAACGTGTTCGACGTGCTGGTAAACAACCACTTCTTCGGCATCGAGCCATTCTTTGCGGTGTCCATCATGGCGGACATCGAGCAGCCGACGGTCAACCGGGTGGTATTAGATTCAATGATCCCCTGGACCGACACCGACCTCCTGCTGGACCCTGAAACCGAGAAAAGCTACACCCAGCAGTACTTGAACGGCATGACATCGGCCACAAAACTATTATTGCGCGACAACAAACAGCAACAAGACGTAGCAAAGCTGGCACCTAACATTACCGATATTGTGCAGCTCGAACTGTCTTTGGCAAAGGTGATACTTGACTTACGCTAAATCTACTTCAGCGCTCTTTCTTCGATACACAGAATAACAATTCATATAATAATCTGACTACAGGAAAGGTTAACAGCGGTGGAGTTGAACAACGACACCATCTTCCTGAACAAATTCTCCCTGAAGACCTTCAAGAACCACCATAAGTTTAAGTCCGCCATTTTGCGCAACATCACCGGGTATTTGCAAGCGTACTTTGCCGTGGCCAACCGATCAGCGGCCATCACCGATGACACTATCGTCATTGTGCCGACGTTGCGCTACTGGAATAAACTGGACGACAAACTGGTCGAGCTGGAGAAGCAGGGAGAGGAAGGCAAGCGGCGTATGGCCAACTACATCGGCTATAAACTCATTGACAGTGTACTGAAGTACCTGTCGAAGGATTATCAGGCCATTAATGGCGAAGTGGCGTCCAGTGTTGAGGACAAATGCCTGGATATCATAAAGAACACTATGCCGCTGGCGCTGGGCACACTGTATGTCCGGGACATTGTGCCAAGAGATCTAAAGAAAAAGGTCAGCAATAAATATAATCTTGATCGTTCCTTTCATTGCTATTCGCTTCCCGCATTGATAGCGCCGTGTAAATCATAATTAATAAAAGCAAATTAATTTTTCTATAGGCAACGATGATGGTCAACGACATTCATGCCGGGTTTAAAGAGCTTCTTGACGAAGCGAAGTGGATGGACAAAGCAACGTACGATGGAGCCGTGAAGAAACTGGCGGCCATTGAAGAGATAGTCGGCTACCCGGATATCATGCTGACCAATACGTCGGCTATCGATTCGTACTTCACCACGGTAATTTTACTCCAGTAACTACGCCATTCGCTGCGGCTAACAACGCCATTCCTTTATTATAGTTGACGATCCAATCGACGTTCTTGCGCAGCATTCTGCAGACACAGAAGAACAACCTCATCCGCGATCTCAAGGCCGTCACACAACCGCATCTTCGCTACGATCCGTTGAAGGACACCGATGACATCAGTGCCGTCAACGCGTACTACTCACCGCGTCAGAATCAGCTGAGTACGAGGACCATACAATATATCAAATTTCCTCTACAGCAAAATCGCGAATGTTTATAGTCATTTTGGCGTCCATTCTTCGCATTCCGTTCTTTGAGGCGGAAGCGCCACAGTATCTGAACTACGGCGGCATCGGCTACGTTATCGGGCACGAGGTGACCCACGGATTCGATGACACCGGGGCCAAGTACGACCCCGAGGGCGTGCGCCGTCTGTGGTGGACCAGCACGACTATTGACGAGTATAAACGCCGCGCCAAGAGCATCATTGACCAGTACAACGCCTACACGATGCCTTCAGGAAAGGTCAACGGTCAGCTGACCTCGGGGGAGAACATTGCGGATAACGGCGGTCTCCGAGCAGCGCTTAAGGTACTCATTGAATTAACTACCATTTTTTCTGTTGCGATGAAGACCAGTCCAAAATTCAGTATAGTGCAGTTTTAATACGCACACAAATCATAAATTGGGAAACGTGTTTATAAGTATTTTAACTGCAAACTGTGCACACGAGTAATTCTGATACGCAATCAATCAACGATTCCCGATTGTTTATGCCGTACAGGGATACAGCCGCTACTTGGCACGGCCCGATACCAAAGAAACCGTGCCACCGGGTTTGGAGAACTACACCCCGATGCAACTGTTTTTCATTTCCGCTGGGCAGGTACGTTGAGGGAAACCAGCGCTCGTGCAGTTACTGCACACTGTTGAATAAACGGCTTGAAAAAAAGTTTATTCGGTACGAGTGATGCGGTGCTGCATGTAAAGTAGTTAAGCTGTCGCATTTTGCAATAATCATGCGTGTGGATTAGGTGTGGTGCTACAACAGCACTCCCGAGAAGGAGCGGATGCGTCTGCTGACCGACGAACACGCGCCCAGTAAGTGGCGCGTTAACGGTCCCATGTCCAACTTCCCGGAGTTCGCGCAGACCTTCAACTGCCCGCTGGGCAGTAAAATGAATCCCAAGATAAAAAATAGAGTGTGGTAAAAGCAGTTTTGTTTCCTCTGCCTGATGCATACCGTGTTCTATTACCATTTGGTTGGTTGCAAGGTTGCAATACTAATGTCATTAAACTGGCAAGACAAACTGAAAAAAATCGGAGGTTAATGTCTGAAGGAAAATTTTTGTTTCGTTGTTTGACGCATTTTATGTTTGGCTGTTATCCATTGGATTAATTCTCATTGCATCTGTACTTTAAACAGAAAGTAGGGTGTGTAGCGCACCATATCGCTTATCTTATTACCGAGAAATACGTAAACAACGGATCCCAAAGCCAACAAAATCTCAGAAAGTCTTTCAGTAACTTTATTGCCTGGTTTCAGCAACTTAGCGTTCAAAAATGCCCCAGGGAAAATGCATCAATCGACATGCTTTGTAGTAAATGTCAGCAAATGGACCTAATGGCTTAAGTACTGGCTCCATTGATGGGGACCACAAAAATCGCCTTAAGAAATCGGCATAACACTTCCTTCCTACTAAAGCAAGGAAAATTCTTCAGGTTAGCACCGCTTTATTTTTTTCTGCCGCGGCCTGTGAGATTGGAGCAGCAAAAATACCGGCTGCAGCATGTTGCAATTTACCGTCAGTTTTTCAGTATCGGTCGGACTACTGGCACTACTATGGCCAGGCTGCATTGCGCGCCTCGCCTTTGTCTCAGATAAAGCAACGGCCAAAAGCCCCAGTTCGTCACAGCCATCGCCAGCCGATGCCAAGGCGGCAGTCTGCCAGACCCCAGCCTGCAAGGAGATAGGTTTGTTTTAACTTTCATTTTAAACTGCCGATTTTCGCAAAAAATTCCTACTGATTTCTCATCCACTCGCCGACAACCACAAGACGGATTCAATTAAGCGAGTTATTCATCCCAAAAATAAGCGCGTTTTCCGGTTCATAATCAGAGCTGAAAAAAACGTGGTAATGTTGCCACGTTTTCCTATTCACCCGCCAAAAGCAAAAAGTTTCGTTTGCGGCTAACCTAATCGTTTGATCGTTTGACTTAAGTGCTTTGCCGGAAGGGTAAAATGATTCTGTGGCTGTTAACAGCCCAGAAAATCCTAAATTAAATGCTGCATTAAAAGCTATTAATTTGGTTCTAGCCGAAAAAGTTCTCAGTCGGATTAATGCCAGTGTCAATCCATGCGACGATTTCTACCAGTTTAGCTGCGGCAAATGGATGAAAGCGCAGAAAGGCGAAGCGAGCGAGTTCTTGAAATTAAACGACAAAACCCGAGCCGTCCTCAAAAGTATGCTTCCTTCTTCTCTCCTAAATCTTGTCTTATCTGTTCATGATTTTCTCTCGCTTTGTAGAGCTTCTTAATGGAGATGTGAAATCCGCCGGTCCAGTGTTTGAAGCCGAAAAAAAGATGAAAGACCTGTACAAGCAGTGCATCAACACAGGTGAGGAAACTTCGTAATATTCGTGTTCTTCTGCTATCCTAATGAATAGTAATGGTGTCTATCAGCGCGGGCTTCTTGTTATGTTAATTGGCTATCGCGCCGAATAAAACGCTACAAATAATCTATAAATGACTTATTGACAGCTGAAATCGAAAAGCTGCGAGGCACTCCTATCGTCAACATCCTGAACGAGATCAGCGGCGGCTGGCCGATGATTACGCCAGACTGGGATGCATCCAAGTTCAACGTGTTCGACGTGCTGGTTAAAACCCACTTTTTTGGCAGTGATGCCTTCTTTTCGGTTAGCGTTAATGTGGATGTGGAACAGCCGACAATCAACCGGGTTCTGTTGGATACCATGACACCATTCGCCGACACTGACGTTCTGCTTGATGATGAGGAGGCAGAACCGTTCACCCGAACGTTTAAGAATGGTATCACAAAGGCCACGAAATTATTACAGCGCGACATTAAACAACCTCAGGATGTGGCGAAATTGTCGCACAATATCACGGATATCGTGCAGCTAGAACTGTTTCTGGGAAAGGTGAAACCATTTTCCGCTTTTTTGCCGCATAAAAAATTTGCAATTCGTATAATCGTTTGACTACAGCAACGGTTGACCGGGGAGGAGATGAACAACGACACTATCTATCTCAACAAATTCTCCCTGAAAACCTTCAAGAACCATCACAAATTTAAGTCCGCCATCTTGCGCAACATCACCGGGTATTTGCAAGCGTACTTCGCCGTGGCCAACCGGTCAGAAGTCATCACCGATGACACTATCGTCATTGTGCCGACCTTGCGCTACTGGAATAAACTGGATGACAAACTGGTCGCGCTCGAGAAGCTGGAAGCGGAGGGTCGCCGCCGCATGGCTAACTACGTTGGCTATAAACTCCTCTACACTGTACTGAAGTATCTGTCCAAGGAATATCAGAGCTTGGTCGGCTTTTCCTCCAGCAGTGTCCAGGACACATGCCTGGATGTCATTAAGAGCACCATGCCGCTGGTTTTGGGCACGCTGTACGCCCGGGATGTTGTACCCAAAGATCTGAAGCAGAATGTCAGTCCAAGCTAATTATTCACGACCTTTACTTATACTCTGCAAAATTATCCTACCGTGTTGAAGTGTCGTTCTCCACTGAAATGCAAAACTTGTGCAGGCAACGTTGATGGTCAACGACATTCATGCCGGTTTCAAAGAGCTTTTCGATGCCGCCAAATGGATTGACAAACCGACGTATGATGCAGCCGTAAAGAAGTTGGCGGCCGTCCAAGAGATCGCCGCCTACCCTGACATCATGCTGACCAATACGTCGGCTATTGATTCTTACTTCACCACGGTAGTTTGCTCCGTTTCCACAACGTACGCTTTGCTCACTGGAAATAATGCATTACAGATGACGATCCAGCCGACCTTCTTGAGCAGTATTCTGGAGATGCAGAAAAACAATATCATCCGCGACTTGCAGTCCATCACAAAGCCCAATCTTCGTTACGATCCGCTGAAGGACACTGAAGACATTACAAACATCAACGCATACTACTCAGCAGGGAAGAATCAGCTGAGTACGTGAACGCACAGAACTCCTGCGATAGTTTGACTTTATAAGTTTAATTTATATGTACTTTCGGTTTTTTAAATTTATTAATCCAGCTAACAAATTTAATTAAAATTCTGTTGCTGGCAGTCATTCTGGCGGGCATTCTGGACGTTCCCTTTTTCAAGGCGGAGGCGCCGCAGTACCTTAATTACGGCGCTATTGGCTACTACATCGGACACGAGGTGACGCACGGGTTCGATGATACTGGCGCCAACTATGACTCCGAGGGCGTTCGTCGTCTGCGGTGGAGCAACAAGACGCTGGCAGAGTATACAAAGCGCGCTAGAGGCATCCTCAAACAGTACAATCAGTACAGAATGCCCACGGGAAAGGTCAACGGGCAGTTGACACTGGGGGAGAATATTGCCGATAATGGTGGTCTCCGAGCAGCGCTTAAGGTTAGGTTAACCAGGAAGTCGGAATTAAGCGACACTTGTAACAATAAAGTTCCGTTTGTAGCATGCCATTTTAATTTCAACCTGAGTACTTAATTTTGACAGTCATGCAGTTTGTGATTTTCGTATTGCACAGGGATACACCCGCTACTTGGCGCGCCTCAATACCAAAGAAACTGTGCCGTCGGGTTTGGAGAATTATACTCCCCTGCAACTGTTTTTCCTTTCCGCCGCGCAGGTGTGTTGATGCAAACGACCGTCAGCGCACTAAAGCTAATTAATCGCTGCACATATTGTGTTTGCGTTAGATATGGTGTTTCAAGACCACTCCGGACAGGGAGCGAACTTATCTGCTTACCGATGAGCATGCGCCCAATAAATGGCGCGTCAACGGTCCCATGTCCAACATGCCGGAATTCGCACAAACCTGCAACTGCCCGCTGGGAAGCAAAATGAATCCCAAGACAAAGAATGGTGTGTGGTAACTTGGCAAAGCAGTTTTCCCTTCTTTAAATGGACCATGCCATTAGAACACCATGCAAATCGCTGCTGCAACAGTTTAAAACATGCAAAACAAAAAAAAACAATAGATAATGGAATCGAAAGTGAACGATTTTCTGAAATTGTTTGACGTATGCTGTTACTGGAATTATTGGAGTTGTTGAATTAAATTTACGTCCATTGTATAGAAGCCGGCTATGCTTCAATTTAACGTACTTCGTGTCAGAATTATTATCATTCACCGATATTTACAGGCTTTATGGAGTAACCTGTTGCAAAATATTCCATATACAGAGTATCTGTACGTATGGATTTTGGGTGTTAGCGCAGCGCAATGCTGTTCTGCTGGACATTTTCTATGCAGATTTTGAATTAAATTGACATAATTATATCATGTCGGGCAATTAAGTAATGCTCGGGGAGCAATGGCTGAGAACAGCAAAGAACAGCCGAGAATAGCAAAGGATAGCTAAAAATAGCCGGGAATAGCTGAGAATAGCAGGGAACGAAGTATTGCACCATTTTGTAGTTAACGGCTTTACAGCTTAGGACAAAATGGTCGCATACCCAACATCTCCACATTCAGTACGAATGCAGCGCAGTGCACTGTACGACTGAGTTCAAAATATCCGTTTCGTACAAGTGCACTGCACCGCTTGCGTACAGAATGCTGGGTATGGGGCTATGCGACCATTTAGTCCTACATTGTAGTTTTTTTCAATCTGTAACGTATTCTTTGCTATTCCAAAAGTTATCACGACATGTGCCTACTTCTGCCTCCGCACCGTGAGCAAAGCATAAGTAACAAGCAGACCAAGAATCCGCGAAACCGATAAGTTTGCATGGTTAGATTACGTAGCGCAGTATGCGCAATATTGCCCCAAGTCAAATGCACTAATTAAATTTATGCTGCATAGTGACTAATAGAAAATTTAAGCAATTAATGTAGGGACTGTCAGTACCTGCTTTGTTGGTGACACTTGCCCGAAGGAACTGGTGCTAGACATACTTCCTTCCTGCTAAAAAAAGGCAAAATTCTTCAGCATTTTCTTTGCATTGCTGTTACAATTTCCGAGACTGCTTTCAATCAATATTCGGCAGCAAACTACCAGCTGCAGCATGTTGCAGTTTTCTGTACCAGTCGGACTGCTGGCACTATTATGGCCAGGCTGGATTTTGCACACTGCATCTGGCTCAGACGACGCACAAGCCCAGAAAACAAATTCATCACAGTCGTCGCCAGCCGATAAAAAAGCCTGCCTGATTCCCGACTGCAAGGAAATAGGTTGGTTTCAATTTTCACTCAAAATATGCCGTGGTCTTAAAATTTTATTCTTATATTAACTCATTCGCGGATTCTAGTTGCATTACGGATGACTAAATTGCCCAATTTAACTTAGTTTTGCGTCTCTGGTTTTATAATCAGAGCTGAAGGGAATTCATATAAATTATTGTACAGTGGCCACGCTCATTTATTACCCTGCTAAAGCATAAGTGCAGATTTGCGGCTATCCCGCAAAGTTTAATTAGAGCTTTGAAGCTTAATCTGAACGTTTTGCGCATAGGGTAAAGCGATTTTCAGCGGCCACACAAAACCTACTTGGGATTGTTACTGTTATTCGTTTTTAAGCCGCAAAGTTTCTCAGCCGAATCGATACGACTGTCAATCCCTGCGACGATTTCTACCAGTATAGCTGCGGGAAATGGATCAAAGCAAAGAATGACCAAGTGGGCGAGTTCCGAACAGTAGACGAGAGAAACAAAGGCGTGGTCAAAAGTAGGCGGTCATCTTTCCTCCTCTTAGGAGCAAAGGTTACGAGTTCAGAAATTCTTCTCGTTTTGAAGAGCTTCTTAAGGGAGATGTCAAACCTGCCGGACCAGCGTTTGAAGCCGAAAAGAAGATGAAAAATCTATACAAGCAGTGCATCAGCACAGGTGAAGTTGTTCTGTAGTATTATCCCGTTATGCTCATCTACCGTAAAGAATATCAAGAAAACATTTCTGACTAGCAGCAAAACATCTGAGAAATAAATGGCTTTTTATTAGATGAGATCGAAAAACTACGAGGTACTCCAATTATAAAGATCCTGAGCGAATTCAACGGCGGCTGGCCGATGATTACTCCAAACTGGGATGCATCCAAGTTTAACGTCTTTGGCGTGCTGGTTAAAAACCACTTTTTTGGCAACGATCCTTTCTTTTCGGTCAGCGTTGGCGTGGATGCGGAACAGCCAACAATCAACCGCGTTGTGTTGGATTCCATGACACCATTTGCCGACACCGACATTCTCCTTGACCCTGTTATGGCAGAAAAGTACACTATGGATTATTTGGCAAGCATTAACAATGCCGCCAAGTTATTATTGCGCGACAATAAGCAGCCGGAAAACACCGAAGTGCTGTCGCCCAAGATCATAGATATTGCGCGGCTCGAGGTGTTTTTGGGGAAGGTGAAATATATATGCATTAAATCGTTTATAAAGCTTTCTGTTTTGCATAAAAGATTTAAGTTTTGATGATATAAAACTTGAACACAGGAAAGGCTGACCGCGGTGGAGTTGAAAAATGACTCCATTACCTTGAACAAATTCACCCTGAAGACCTTCAAGAACCACCATAAATTTAAGTCGACAATCTTGCGCAACATAACCGGATATCTGCAAGCCTACTTTGCCGTGGCCAACCAAACAACTGCCATTACAGATGACACTGTTGTCATTGTACCGACACTGCGCTACTGGGACAAACTGGATCAAAAGCTGGCCGAGTTAGAGAAACAGGGAGTGGAGGGCCGGCGCCGCATGGCTAATTACATCGGTTTCAAACTCATCTACAGTGTACTCAAGTATCTGTCCAAAGAATATCGAGATATTGTCGAAAATCCGTCTAGCATCGAAGACAAATGTATGAGCATCATTAAAAGCACCATGCCGCTGGCGCTGGGCACGCTCTATGTTCGCGATGTTGTACCGAAGGATCTGAAGAAAAAGGTCCGTCATGCCAGATATTCTTTGCGTTTCCCTTCATCGGCACAATTTAGTGCCGTGTGGCATTATCAACCTAAACTGATTAATTAAATCATACTTGCAGGCAACGTTAATGGTCAACGATATTCATGTCGGATTTAAAGAACTTTTAGACGAAGCGAAGTGGATGGACAAAACCACATACGAAGGAGCTATAAAGAAACTGGCGGCAATTGAAGAGATTGTCGCGTACCCGGATATCATGCTTACAAATACGTCAGCTATTGATTCGTATTTTGCCACGGTACAGTATGTATCTGATGCTGCTTCGGAAACCGCGACATTTGAGCCAAATTCAGAATAACAGTTGCTGAAAATTGTGTTTAGATGACGATCCAGCCGACCTTCTTGCGCAGTATCCTGCAGACGCAAAGAAACAATCTCATCCGCGACCTTCAGTCCATCACACAGCCCCATCTTCGTTATGATCCGCTGAAGGACACCGACGATATCACTATCCCTGGCGCGTTCTACTCAACAGATAAAAATCAGCTGAGTACGTTGTTTCGCAATAAATCAAATTCGCCTTTGTTTTATAAATTTAGATGCCTTTAACTTCCAAGTGCACTTTTGATTTTATAATACCTTTATGCTCAATTGCTACGTCGGTGTTGGCAGTTCTCCTGGCAGGCATTCTGGACATTCCCTTCTTCAAGGCGGAGGCGCCGCAGTACCTGAATTACGGCGGCATCGGCTACATTATCGCGCACGAAATAACGCACGGATTCGATACCACCGGCGCCAATTACGACCCCAACGGCGCCCACCGTTTGTGGTGGACCAACACGACGTTCGACGAGTACAAGCGTCGTGCCAAGAGCATCGCACAGCAATACAACAAGTATAGAATGCCCACGGGAAAGGTCAACGGAGAGCTGACACTGACAGAAAATATTGCAGATAATGGCGGTCTCAGGGCCGCTATTGCAGATAATGGCGGTCTCAGGGCCGCGCTTAAGGTATGCGTACAGGTATGCGTACCGCGCTTAAGGTATGCGTACATCAATATGGAAGTTATATTTGTAAAGACTGATGCATTTAGAATTTCGGAGAGATTATGCGCTGTATAATACAGCGGTTGTTAACCACAATATTGCACAAGGGGTAGATCGATCCCCACTGGAAAAATTGCTGATATTGCATTGGTGAAATTGGAAAAGTCTGCCATAACTCTGTTTAAGGCGTCAAAAGCAGCTCCTGACGAAGGCTTATAGCAGGCTTATTGCAGTATCTCACTGCGCTTGATGCAAATTAGAAACTACAGCGCACTTATTTTGTTTCATATTAAGTACGTCCGTGATGTCGTCTCCATGCTGGTTGTATTTCCGTATTAGTTTTACGTATTCGTACAGGGATACAGCCGCTATTTGGCACGTCCCGATACCAAAGAACTCCTGCCGCCGGGATTGGAGGACTACACTCCCATGCAACTGTTTTTCCTTTCTTCCGCGCAGGTGCGTTGACGCAAAAGAGCGTGGGCTAAATTTATTAATAATTATATCTTCATACTTTTGCATTAGGTATGGTGCTTGAAAATCGATCCAGACAAGGAACGACTTTATCTGCTGATTGATTACCATTCACCCAATAAGTGGCGCGTCAATGGTCCCATGTCCAACTTGCCGGAATTTGCGCAGAGCTTCAACTGCTCGCTGGGAAGCAAAATGAATCCCAAGATTAAGAATCGTGTGTGGTAATTCGGCTGGATTTTCTCTGAATGCTGAAAGTTGTGCTACATTATTATCGTTACTGTAAGCATTAAATTGACAAAACGAACTGAAAGAAAATTTGTCTTTTTCAACCCCGAGAATTTCTTGAGTGATGCTTCATGCGTATTGTTAAGGGAATTAGTGATATTCATGATTTGTTATTGGTTTTACTTCTTTGGTTTAAGTAGTTTAATGTGAGCCCAAAATAATACGACACGATGCGTTTTTGTCGGACTGTGGTCACCCGGAATTTGACTTCTGTAACACATCTTATACATTTTCGGATAAAATAATATCAGTTGTAAAACGGCAAACGAGATTCTTCCGAGGGATTAACTGCTATCGTTTTCCATGACGAACAGCTACTACCTATTTAACCCACCATTTTCGTTTCTCATAAAGCATTACCAAGAGCAAACCTTAAACAAGCGGTTGCAAAACGAAGCAGTCACAAATGATAAATGCCTGGTTTGAGTAGGTTAGCGTGCACACTGCACAATACTGCCTCAAGTTACAGTAAATGCACTGAGTATATGAAACATGTTAGCAAAATTTAATGCACGTCGCTTTCAGTACCTGGCCTATTGATAACTACCACAGTACTCGCCTGAAGGAAACGGCGCTAGACGTACTTCCTTCTTACTAAAGCAAGAAAAACCTCTTCAGCAATCGGCTTGCATTGTTTCACGTTATTCCGCCACGACTTATGCGAGATTCAGACAGCAAAATACCGGCTGCATCATGTTGCAGTATGTAGTGCGCTTTTCTGTATCCTTCGGACTTCTTTCACTGCTCTGGCCAGGCTGCATTTCGCGCTACTCAGACGACCCACAGACCAATAAAACAATTCTGTCACAGTCGTCGCTAGCCGATAAAGAAACGACAGCCTGTCAGATTCCGGACTGCAAGGAAATAGGTTGGTTCCGATTTTCAAAACCTTCTATTGATTTTGTAATTCGCCTGCAACAGCCTGCAGCACGGATTAACAGGCTAAACGGAAGTTGTACTGTATAGTAGTAGGCTTTTTTCATTTTTGTTTCACGACAGAACTAAGAAAAACAGGGTAATGGGGAAACGCTTCCTTGTTCTGGGGGGTTTTATGGCACTTATCAGACACACCAGGCTATGTTACATTCTTAACTACTATTTTCTGATAGCCGCAAAGTTTCTCACCCGGATCGACACCGGTGTCAATCCTTGCGACGATTTCTACCAGTTCAGCTGCGGGAAATGGATCAAAGCCCAAAAACAAGCAACGAGCGAGGTCCTAAAACTGAACAACAAAACCCGAGCCATCCTAAAAAGTAGGTGGCATTACTTTCGTTCCTAGATCAAATGTTGCCGGTTCAGACCTTATTTTTGTTTTGCAGAACTGTTGAAGGGAGACGTAACACCCGCGGGTCCAACATTTGAAGCTGAGAAAAAGATGAAAGATCTGTACAAGCAGTGCCTCAACACAGGTGAAGATACTGTATATCGCATTATCAGCTTTTCGTTCATCCATTGAACATTGGTAACGGAGGTGTGATGCTAAACAAATCGAATTAATGGCTTATAAACAGGTGAGATCGAAAAGCTACGAGGTACTCCGATAATCAAAATCCTGAACGAATTTAACGGCGGCTGGCCGATGATATCACCCGACTGGGATGCATCCAAGTTCGACGTGTTCGATGTGCTGGTTAAGAACCACTTCTTTGGCAACGATCCCTTTTTCATGGTTAGCATTCTATCTGATGTGGAGCAGCCGACAATCAACCGGGTTATGTTGGATGCCATGAAACCATTCGCTAACGCTGATGTTCTGCTGGACCAAGACGAGGCCGAATATTTCACCGAACAGTATGTCGATGGCATCACCAATGCCACCAAATTGTTAACACGCGACAATAAAGGGTCGCACAACGTGACACTGCTATCGCCCAACATCACGGACATTGTGCAGCTTGAGTTATTTTTGGCGAAGGTGAAACGTTTTTGGATTAAGCCGTTTTCAAACTTTTCGTTATTTTTTGAAACAAAAACTACATTTATCGTAATAATATTGATCACAGGAAACGTTGACCGCCGTGGAGAAGGAAAATGACACCATCTACTTGAATAAGTTCACCCTGAAGACGTTCAAGAAGCACTATGAATTTAATTCCGGCATCTTGCGCAACATCACCGGGTATCTGCAAGCGTACTTCGCCGTGGCCAACCGGTCAGAAGTTATCACAGATGACACTATCATCATTGTGCCGACCTTGCGGTACTGGAATAAACTAGACGATAAACTGGCCGAGCTGGAGAATCAGGGAGCGGAGGGTCGCCGCCGCATGGCCAACTACATCAGCTTCAAACTCATCTACAGTGTATTGCAGTATCTGTCTAGTGAATATCGAGATATTGTTGATAATTCTCGCATAAATATCGAGAGTAAATGCTTGGATGTCATTAAGAACACCATGCCACTAGCGCTGGGCGCATTATATGTTCGAGATATTCTACCTAAAGATCTGAAAGAAAAGGTCAGTTGCTGATAAGTTGCCACAATGTCTTACCCTTCGTTTCATCGGTACGATTTGCCGGTCGTGTTGTAAGGTCACTCTAAATTTGAAACCGTAAAAATGCAAAACATGTCACATGTTTGATACTTACAGGCAACGATGATGGTCAACGACATTCATGCCGGTTTTAAAGAGCTCCTTGATGAAGCGACGTGGATGGACAAAGCAACGTACGATGGAGCCATAAAGAAACTGACGGCCATTCAGGAGATCGTAGCGTATCCGGATATCATGCTGTCAAATACGTCGGCTGTCGATGCGCATTTCACCACTGTATCTAGCTGCTCTGTGCTTTGCGGTAACGGCTCCAATATGATTAACGGTTGCTGACAATTATTTTTAGATGACGATCCAAACAACCTTCTTGCGCAGCATCCTGCAGACGCAGAAAAACAATCTCGTCCGCGACCTGCAGTCCATCACACAGCAACATATTCGCTATGATCCGCTGGCGAGCACCGACGATATCACTGAAATTAACGCGTACTACTCAAAAACGCAGAACCAGCTGAGTACGTGGGAGCGCTGAACACGGAGTTTGCAATAATTTTACAAATTTGGTTCACTTTGAAATCAATTCATGGTGTCGATTTTATAAGATTATTCACATTTTACAAATTTGTTTAATACATTTAATTTAAATCTCGGTACTTTCAGCCATCTTGGCGGGCATTCTGGACATTCCCTTCTTCAAGGCAGAAGCACCGCACTACCTAAATTACGGCGGCATTGGCTTTTTGGTCGGACACGAATTGACGCATGGGTTTGATAACACCGGGGCCAGTTTCGATCCCGAGGGAGCGCGCCGTCTGTGGTGGACTAAGAAGACGGGGGAAGAATACGAGCGCCGCGCCAAAAACATCGTTCAACAGTATGACAAGTACACAATGCCCACGGGAAAGGTCAACGGGGAACAGACATTAGATGAAAATATTGCCGATAACGGTGGACTCCGAGCAGCGCTTAAAGTAAGGCAGTCAATTCAGATTACAATATTCAAGAGAGATTCTGCAGCCACTGAATTTAAACAATTAGAACACAGTGTTATGGCATATACACAACGTACATATTGCGTAGCTTATTTTCCGATAATGTGAGCCTGTGAGGGTATTTTGATTGCCACACAATTTATATTTTACTATTGGGTCTTGTCGTACAGGGATACACCCGTTACTTGGCACGGCCCGATACGAAGCAGCCCGTGCCGTCGGGTTTGGAGAACTACACACCTATGCAACTATTTTTCATTTCTGTTGCGCAGGTATGTTAATGGAAGCGCGTCAGTGCAGTTAGTTATCGTTGCATGAAGAACTTGTGCAATAGGTGTTTTGCTCCAAGACCTCTCCCAACAGTGAGCGACTCCAACTGCTGACCTCTATCCACGCGCCTAATAAGTGGCGCATTAACGGTGCCATGGCCAATGTGCCGGAATTTTCGCAAAGCTTTAATTGTTCGCTGGGAAGTAAAATGAATCCCGAAATAAAAAATCGTGTATGGTAATGTGGTTTTCTTTTAACCGTGTTGACGCACCCAATATTCCGTTAGTGTCGCTGCTACGGTATAACGGCCCTCAAACTGGAAGACAAACGGCAGTAAAAAATCAGTGGTAAATGATTGGTAAAAAATTCTCCATCGTTGTTTTATGTTGTTAGAGAAATGTTCAATTTCTTATAAAGTTGTTATGCCGTGTTATTCGAACAGTTTTCGTCGTAATTATTAGTAAAGTTTTACATTTCGTCGGTACATGCGTGAATTCTAACTTACTCGCCTAGTGGGCATCGTTCACTGGACAGTGGTGGTAGCGCTCGGTGTAGCACGAACAGTCCGTTCCCGCCAGCAATAATGTAAATACTGACCGATAAATACGCACGGCGCGACAGCGGCGTCGTGTTCAGTATTCTTGGGTGTGCTCAGAGCTTTAACTGGGTTCCTGGACACGTTAATAGAACCCGCAGTAAAGAACGGCGCCTGATTGTGCCTATTAACATAACTGCCGCTTTTGCACACTTAAAAACTGGCATGGACGATGTGAGATATCACGCTTCTCACGCTGTGCCAATGTAGCCGGTAACTGTTATGCTTTAGGGTAATGGCACTACATTGCACTAAAGTTACTATAACACGAAAGTTACTATACGGCACCACACCATTTGGCGAATGGTGGTCATTTACTGTAGCCCCGCGACGAGATGGCACCACTTTTAGATCCGGTCGCTGCCTGCCTCCGGTCGGACAGCGCACACGTTGCGTAGAACGTTGTGAAGCGAGAAGCAGCTCACCCACAGCGACACAATCTTTTAAAGAATTTCCACGTATTGCGCCGTGGTGCAGTGGCACTGCCTGCGCGGATCTAACGACGTAGCTGGGGTTTAATTCCCCATCGGTGCCATTTTCGGCCGTTTCTCGGTTTCCCTCGGATTGCGCCCTGTTTATATGGTAGCAGAGCATGGTTCGGTACGTCCACTTCGCCTATGAGACCAGTGTGCTAACCTCGAACGGGAGAAACAGAGCAAAAACGAATAAAACGAATGGAGGATGCGATGAGCCGGAGCCGCCGCTTGAAGGATCGCTTAGTCTCGCTACGAGGACGTAGCGAAAGCTGCAAAGGGGGTGTGAAGTGAGAAGCGGCTCACGTACAGCGACAACATCTTTCAAAGAATTTCAACGTATTGCGCCGTGGTGCAGTGGTACTGCCTACGCGGATCTAACGACGTAGCCGGGGTTCGATTCCCCCATCGGCGCCATTTTCAGCCGTTTCTCGGTTTCCCTCGGATTGCGCTCTGCTTATAACGTGCTGCAGCGTGTGCGATGATCTCCGTATACCGGACTCTGTGCAGCAATCTCATCGCGCGGCTACAGTAACTCTTATTCACTAACTACCGTAGTAGATCCCGCGCAAATTGCGCGGAAGAAATTATAGAACTACAGTACAATAACTGCAATACTTACGTATAATGTTGTCACAAAAAGAGTCGAATGATTGCTTCGTAGTGCCATTAGCTGGTTTATGTAGTCTTCAGAAGTTACAAAACGTCGTGTTTTGTAGCGTCAAATAGAGTGGCATTTCAGTTCGCATCTCTTTCTCTTCGTTTGACCAAGCTGTTTGTCCCTTCTTGTTCATTTTATGAGCGAAGTTTTTGGTCCTTGCTCCCTTCGATTAACAGCTGTTGTTTTCCATGATTAACACAACCACTTCCGTTTCAGCAGTTACCGAGCAAGTCCTGGATAACCGGTTGCGAAGCTCAGATTAATATTCTCTGAAAATGATCAATGTGCGCTGCTGAGTAACTAACTTAGCGTGAAAAATTTTGCTTCAAGTTGAACGCACTTAATGTATGTTGTCATATAAGTAAGAAAATGTTGTCATTCGAAGTACTTGGCTTGATGGCAACCACAGTGTTTGCCCAAGGAACCGGCGCTAGACTTATTTCCTTCTTGCTAAAGCAAATATTCATCAGCATTCGCTTTGCGCTACTGTAACTTATTCCGCGACAGCGTATTCGAGATTCGGGCAGCAAAAAACCGGCTGTGTCATGCTGAAGTTTATAGTGCGTTTTTATGTATCTGTCGGACTTCTGGCAATGAAATGGCCGAGCTGCATTTCGCGCACTGCCTCTTACTCGGTCGATATACAAGCCAATAACGCACATCCATCACATTCGTCGTCACCCGATAAAGACGCGGCAGCCTGTCAGATTCCCGACTACAAGGAAATAGGTTGGTCTTAGCATTAGCTATGGCACGCAAAGAAAGTGCGTGTATTACATACGTTATACGTACAGTACGTGCTATGACGTACGTGGTGTTTGTTCTGTTGCGATATGTTCTTGCGTATCACATTTCATCGCTAAACTCTATTAGCGATTTTGGATCCACATTTAGTGTGCTGAGTCTGAAGTCTCGAGTTTCTTGAACTGGATGACTGTGAAGTGGGCTGTTACTACAGAGTTGTTAGGAGGAAATTGGTTATAATCTGTTGATTGAACATTTGGGAAGTTTCTGTGCGGTTGGGTTTCGGTAACCTTCGTAAGGCACAACATCCGCTTGTATCTGTACTAGCGGAAGTAGTAAGTTTGTGTACGACCACTCATCAGAGTCCAGAGCGTCTTCCTACTGAACCGACTGTGTATGGTTGGTCATCGAGTGCGGTAGTTGTGGTGCAACTTCCGTATAGCATGTCCGCATACTTTCTATTCCGTATAATTATATCCTAATACGTTATTTGCTTCCAGCCGCAAAGTTTCTCAGCCGAATTGATACCAGTGTGAATCCTTGCAACGATTTCTATCAGTTCAGCTGCGGGAAATGGATCAAAGCACAAGAGGACGAAGCGAGCGATGCCTTAAAATTGAACAGAACGCGAGCCATCCTGACAAGTGGGCGGCTAAATGCGGCCAACTAGATTCTTCCTGCATAATGTTATCGGTTCAGACATTATTTTCGTTTTATAGAGCTTCTTAAAGGAGACGTTAAGCCCGCGGGTCCAGTGTTCGAAGCAGAGAAAAAGATGAAAGATTTGTACAAGCAGTGCATCAACATAGGTGAAAACAGTCCCCAATATTTTTTGTTTTTGCCATAGAATATTACTCGTATTAAATATAAGGCGTGTAAGCTGATAAACATACTGAATAACTGGTACTGCGATTTGTTACCAGTTGAGATTGAAAAGCTGCGAGGCACTCCGATTATCAAAATTCTGAACGATTTTAACGGCGGCTGGCCAATGATAACACCGGGATGGGATGCATCCAAGTTCAACGTGTTCGACGTGCTGATTGAAAACCTCTTCTTCGGCAACGATTGTTTCTTTTCGGTAAAAATCGCATGGGATGTGGAACAGCCGAATATAAACCGGGTTATCTTGGATACCATGACACCGTTCGTCGCCACTGAACTACTGCTGGATGATGACGTTGCAGGGATTTTGGCTCAGAGCTATTTTAACGGCATTACCAATGCCACTAAGTTATTACTGCGCGACAACAAACAGCTGCAAAGCGTGACAAAGCTGTGGCCCGACATCTCGGACATTGCGGAGATGGAGCTGTTTTTGGGGAAGGTGAAACACTTATGCGTTGAACCGCTTTCAAACATTTTTTATAAATAACTACAGTTCTCATAATGGCATGATTACAGGAAACGTTAACCGCGGTGGAAAAAAGTAGTGACACCATCTACCTGAATAAATTTACCCTAAAGGCATTCAAAAACCACTATAAATTTAAGTCCGCCATCTTGCGCAACATCACCAAATACCTGCGGGCGTACTTCGCTGTGGCCAACCGATCAGCAGCCATAACCGATGATACCATTGTCATCGTGCCGACATTGCGCTACTGGAATAAACTGGACGACAAACTGGTCGAACTGGAGAATCAGGGAGCGGAGGGCCGGCGCCGAATGGCCAACTACATCGGCTTCAAACTTATCTTCAGTGTGCTGCCGTATCTGTCCAAGGATTATCGAGATATTGTTGAGGACTGGTCCATCAACATCGAAGATAAATGCATGGACGTAGTTAAGATCAACATGCCGCTGGCGCTGAGCACGCTGTGCGTTCGAGATATTGTACCCAAAGATCTGAAGAAAAAGATCAGTTAATTTAAAGTTGCCCTTTATTGTTCGCCCTTCCCTCCATCGGCACTATTCGACTCCTGTGCTGATAGGTCATTAATTTTACACCCGAAAACTGCAGAAGAAATTTAAATACGTTCATACTTGAAGGCAACGATGATGGTCAACGATATTCGTGCCGGGTTCAAAGAGCTTCTTGATGAAGCGAACTGGATGGATAAAGCAACGTATGATGGAGCCGTAAAGAAACTTGCGGCCATTCAAGAGATCATTGCTTATCCGGACATCATGCTGTCCAATACGTCGGCTATAGACTCGTACTTCACCACGGTATCTAGCTGTTCCGTAGCCCGCGGCATTGCCTCCAAAATAACAGCTGTTGAAAATTCTTTTTAGATAACAATCCAGCCGACCTTTTTGCGCAGCATCCTCCAGTCGCAAAGAAGTAATACTATCCGCAAGCTGCAGTCCATCACACGGCCGCGGTTCGTTGTGATGCGCTGGCGAACACCGCTGATATCACTGCCATTAACGCGTACTGCTCACCGATGCGAAATCAGCTGAGTACGTGGGCGCAAAGAACAACGATGACGTTAAGTTTTATAAATTCGGTTTACTCGTACTTCGGTTTCTGGCTTCAGCTTCAATTACTGAACTATTTTTGTTTCATTTTATTTGAAAAACCTTTTGTTTATTTTATCAGTATAATTAATAACCAAGCAGTTTAATTTAAATGCCGGTTTCTGCAGTCATTCCGGCGGGCATTCTGGACATTCCCTTCTTCAAAGCCGAAGCGCCGCAGTACCTTAATTACGGCGGCATTGGATTTTCTATCGGACACGAACTGACGCAGGGTTCGATACCATCGGGGCCAAGTACGATCCCGAGGGAGTGCACCGTCAGTGGTGGACCAATACGACGATTAATGAGTACGAACGCCGCGCCAAGAGCCTCGTCCAACAGTACAACAACTACAGCATGCCCACGGGAAAGGTTAACGGACAGTTGACACTGGGGGAAAATATTGCCGATAATGGTGGACTCCGAGCAGCGCTCAAGGTAAGCCTACCCAGTAAGTCAGTCATGGGGGCACAGATTACTGTTGACAACGCTCTCGAGAGATAAGAGAAAGTTCCCAATAATGTCCGCACTCCATTAGTTTATATATACATTTATAGGAAGCATATAGAAGCCACGTTCCAATAATGTGTCGTATTTTCCGGTTGGTTCTTGCCGTACAGGGATACACCCGCTACTTGGCCCGGCCCGACACGAAGGAGCCCGTCCCGCCGGGTTTGGAGAACTACACTGCTCTTCAGTTGTTTTTCATTTCCGCAGCGCAGGTACATTGATGGACGCGTGTGTAAGTGCATTTAATTAATCGTTGCATGTAAATGTTTGTGCATTAGTTGTGGTGCACCAAGACCACTCCCGACCAGGAGCGACTTGATCTGCTAGCCGATACCCACGCCCCCAATAAGTGGCGCGTCAACGGTCCCATGTCCAACATGCGTGAATTTTCGCAAAGCTTTAACTGCCCGCTGGGAAGCAAAATGAATCCCGAAACAAAAAACCGTGTATGGTAACCGGGTTTCTTTTTCGCGTTGACGGACATTTTTTTCCGTTATTGTTTTTTTAAATTCAAATGCTATTTGTCACGGAAATGCTATCTTTTCGGGATCCGTAGCGGCCAGGAATACTGGAGCGTTTTAGTGTCAGCCAAGTAAAGGTTGCATCTATTCTTGACTTCTCTTACTCTCGCGCGACAGTGGGTAATGAAAGGTTACAGTCTTCCAGGTCTAAGCCCATCGCCCAACTGCGTTATTCGCAATTTGTATTCATCGTTTTGTGTCGGAAATATGGATCAACATTAAGTAACCTTGATAATGCCGTCGCGGAAAAAGGTAAAGCAATGCAAGCCGATTCGGTTTGCATTGCTTTACCTTTTTCCGCGACGACTTAATCGTGTATATATGTATGTAGCTAGACATTAATTATGTAGAAAAAGATAACTTTATTATACCTTGAGCAAGATATATAGGGTAAACCTGGTAGCGCAGAAGTCGGAAATCTGCTGCATAAAAATTCAGTAATTTTCGGCACGTTTCAAGCAAAGGCATCAAGTTGTAATTAAGGGCCCAAACGTATGGCACGGCTTACAGCCTAAACCGCTTAGAATTTTTCAAAACCGATTGCACATTCTCTATCTAGTTTTTAATGCTCTTCATGCTCGTTATCGATTTGATGAGAAATTATGATTTTTTCATAAGTCAAATTATGAATATGAGTGAGCCTTTTATATGTCGTGACAGCAGTCGGAGTGAGTACGGTTGTCGGCCAGGCAGGCTGTCGCTAGCGCGCTGCCTGCCTGGCCTCTATTTGTACATGCCCGATTCAAACCACATTTCTACTACTTTACTCGACTCAGATGTTTTTTTGGAATCCCATAAAACAAATTGCAGATTCAGAATTGGCGTAAAATTTTATGAAGACTTTGTGTCTGATAAAAGTTTGTAGCTTTTATGGATCGTCCGCAAATCCTTGCCATACATTACCAATTTGATGGCCGTTTCGGCCATTGTTTTTCTTTTGTCTTTCGAGAAATGTTAACGAGGTGTGCCGGCAAACAAAGTACTGAATTTTTAGACGTTCAGTCGCGCTACCAGGTTACCCTATATACCTTGCCTTGAGTGTATCGGTGTCACGTCTTCATAATGTCATTTATTCACTTAGCTCTTCACAGTCATTCTGGCAGCTTACGCTGCTGCTGTTCACACGTTGCTATGTCACATCATCACAATCGGACAGCGTCCTAAAAACAACATTAACAAATCAGATGTAGATAGACATGTATGTGGATAGAAATTAAGTAGATACCGTTTTCCAATAAACAGAAACTACGGTAGTATATTTACCGCACCTCGTCCGTGCAGCTGTTACCAGCAAGCCCTGGACAAGCGGTTGCGAAGCTAACCGCAAGAATGTCAGGAAGTGTTCAGTGTAAGCTGTCTGATTTAAGTAAATTAGCGCGTAAAATATTGCTCCAAGTAAATGCACTAAATGTGTGATGTCTATCCAATAAGTAAATCACTTCAGCTACAGTACCTGGTCTATTAACAGCACCGATTGTACTAGTACTCGCCTGAAGGGTCCGGCGCTAGACGCATTTCTTTCTATTGAAATAAAAAAATCTTCAGAATTCCGCTTGCATTGCTTTACCTTACTCCGCGACGGCTTAATCGAGCTTCGCGCAGTAAAATACGAGGTACTCGTACATCATGCTGCAGTTAACAGTACGCTTTTCTTGTTGGACTTTTGCCACTGTTATGGCCAGACTGCATTTCGCGCACTGCATTTGGGCCGTGATTTGGCTCAGACGTTACACAAGCCAATAAAACCAAGTCATCACATATTCTTGCGGGACGAAGAAGTCAGAACTGGCGTTGCTCTTCGATCTGGGCTGCCCGTTGTGGAGGAGCATGACTGCGTAAACTGCGGAGGCCGAGTAGAAGCGAACGGCCACCACGGTTTGTCTTGCCCAAGCAGTAAAGGCAGATGGTCGCGACAAGTTGAGCTGAACAATGAGGTAAAGCGCTGTTTAGAGCTCGCGGGCTATCCATGCCAAAGCGAACCGGCTGGACTGTCTGACGAACACGGGAAGCGGCCGGACGGTATGACCCTGATTCCTGTGCGCGATGGTAAGGCCGTGGTATGGGATGCAACTTGCTGGGATACTGTGGCCGTGTCTCATGTACATTCCAGCTCGCTGAAAGCCGGGAGTGTCGAACAACTGGCCGAAAACAGCAAGTGCCGGAAGTACGCTTTCGTCGAGGGTTTGGGTTATTTTTTCTACGCTCTGGCGGTCGAGACGTTCGGAACCTTTGGAACGTCGTTTGCGGAACTGATTCGTTTTGCTGGCCGGAAGATCCGTGACGCTACAGGAGAGCCTAGGTCCACGGCCTTTTTAAGACAGCGATTAAGTTTGGCTGTTGTCAGAGGAAACGCAGCAGCTGTTTTGGGCACCTTGAGTGCATGCCATAAGATCTTGAACGACAATAATGATTATGGGTGTTTTTTCAATGTTTTAATTTTATTCATTTTAATTACTGCGAACCTGTGAAAGCATACCGATATGTGCTTGGCTGTTGCCTATTAAAAGCGCAACTCATCACATTCATCGCCAGCCGATAAAGGAGCAGCAGCCTGTCAGATTCCTGACTGCAAGGAAATAGGTTCGTTATAACTTTTGCTTATAGTTAAGAGCTTAAAAAACAGGATGACGTGGCGATAACTGATAACTGTACGAATAGCATACCTTTAGATTTACGACTATCCTAAAGTTTAATTGGAGTTTTTTGGTTTAAAAATGATGGGATTTTTATAGCAATTGGCATCCATATAAAAGCTAAATTGTGGTTTAAACTTTTACTTCTTTTAAGCCGAAAAGTTTATCCGCCGGATCGATAGCAGTATCGATCCCTGTGACGATTTCTACAAGTATAGCTGCGGCAAATGGATCATATCGCAGAAAGACGAAACAAGCCAGGTCCAAAAATTGAACAACAAAACTCGAGACGTCCTCAAAAGTAGGCGATGATGGTTTCCGTCGTTGATTTAATGCTACCGGTTTAGATTATTCTCGTTTCACAGAGCTTCTTAGAGGAGAAGACAAAATCGCCGGTCCAACGTTCGAAGCCGAAAAAACGATGGAAAATCTGTACAAGCAGTGCATCAATACAGGTGAAAAAATTCAAAAATGTTGATTTTGCTCGTCTACTGAATTTTATGAAATTATAAAAGACATGTAAGGTGCTAAACGTATTAAATAAACTTCTGACCAGCGGAGATCGAAAAGTTGGGAGGCATTCCGATAATCAAGATTCTGAACGAATTGAACGGCGGCTGGCCGATGATTACACCAGACTGAGACGCCTCTAAGTTCAACGTGTTCGACGTGCTGACTAAAAACCATTTCTTCGGCAACGATCCCTTCTTTTCGGTAAGCATTGCAGCGGACGTGGAACAGCCGAATATAAACCGCATCATCTTGGATACCATGACACCATTCGTCAAACTCAACACTGACATAATGCTGGCCGATGGCGTTACAGAGTTTTTGACCCAGATCTACTTTGATGCCATTACCAATGCCACCAAATTATTACTGCGCGACAAGAAACAGGCGGAAAACGTGACGAAGCTGTCGAGGAACATTACAGATATTGTGCAGTTTGACCTGTTTTTGGGAAAGGTGAAACTCTTCCTGTTTTCAAGCTTTTTGTTCTGTACAAGAAACTACTGTTATCACGGGATATCTGCAGGCATACTTTGCCGTAGCCAACCAATCGGCAGCCATCACAGATGAAACCGTTATTACTGTACTGACGTTACGCTACTGGGCCAAGCTGGACGATAAGCTATCGGAGCTGGAGAATCAGGGAGCGGAGGGGGCATCCTGCAGACGCAAAAAGCTCGTCTCATCCGCAACCTACAGTTCTTTACACAGCCGCATCATCATCGTTAAGATCCACTGACGGACACGCATGATATCACTGCCGTTTATGCGTACTACTCGGAAAAACAAAACTGGCTGAGTAAGTGGGCGCAGAACACATCGCATTCGTTTCAGTTGTATGAATTCGCTTGGCTGGAATCTAGTTTACGAATTCAGTTCTGTTTTCGAAATTAGCTTGGTATTAGGTTGGTATTAGTTTTATAAAACGACATTAAATTTATAATTTTATCAATGTAAACAAAATTAATTTTGTGGCCGCTGTTGGTAGTTTATCTTTGCTGGCGTTCAGGACATTCCTTTCTTCAAGGCGGAAGCACTGCAGTACCTAAATTACGGCGGCATAGGCGGTATTATCGGGCACGAGTTGACGCATGGGTTCGATACCACCGTGTTGGTTCTTGACGTACAGGGATACGCCCGCTACTTGGCACGGGAAGATACGAAGGAACCCGTTCCGCCGGGTTTGGAGAACTACAGACCTATGTAGCTGTTTTTCTTTTCCGTCGCGCAGGTACGTTGATATAAGCAAGCGTCAATGCAGCTCATTACTCGTTGAATGTGAATGCTTTTGCATTACTTAGGTGTTTTGCATCACGCCCTCTCTCGACAATGAGCGACACAATCTACTGACCTAATTATGCAATCAGCAGGGCGCAATCCGAGGGAAACCGAGAAACGGCTGAAAAAGGCGCCGATGGGGGAATCGAACCCCGGCTACGTCGTTAGATCCGCGTAGGCAGTACCACTGCACCACGGCGCAATACGTTGAAATCCTTTGAAAGATTTTGTCGCTTTACGTGAGCCGCTTCTCTCCTCACACCCCCTTTGCAGCTTTCGCCACGTCCTCGTGGCGAGACTAAGCGATCCTCCTAAGCGGCTGCAATTACCGCATCCTTTTATCCGTTTTCAAGCGGTTTCCCGATAACCGCAGCGGCTTCCCGATAACCGCATCTTTTCTTTTTCTCTTTTTCCCGGCTCGTCAAGGAAGGCTAACGCACTAGTCTCATACCATAGGTCCGTGATCCAACCGTGATCTGCTACCATCTAAGCAGGGCGCAATCCGAGGGAAACCGAGAAACGGCTGAAAAAGGCGCCGATGGGGGAATCGAACCCCGGCTACGTCGTTAGATCCGCGTAGGCAGTACCACTGCACCACGGCGCAATAAGTTGAAATCCTTTGAAAGATTTTGTCGCTTTACGTGAGCCGCTTCTCGCCTCACACCCCCTTTGCAGCTTTCGCTACGTCCTCGTAGCGAGACTAAGCGATCCTTCAAGCGGCGGCTCCGGCTCACCGCATCCTCTATTCATTTTATCATTTTATTCGTTTTTGCTCTGTTCCTCCCGTTCGAGGTTAGCACACTGGTCTCATAGGCGAAGTGGACGTACCGAACCTTGATCTGCTACCAATTTTGCACACGGCGCGCATGTCTGGCCGTTGACCGTGACGTCAGGCAGATATAAATTTTTAGAGGAGCAACGTGATTGGTCAGTTATCTGAGCTGTGATTGGTTGAAATTTGAACTGAATGATTTGCGTTAGCTGACCAATAGGAATGAAGTAAACAACCCGAATGGGGATTTTCCGTTGAACTCGAGCCGTAATGGGAAATTTGATTTGAGATGAGTTAATTGAGCTAGAAAGTGACCTTTTAACTCGAATCGAGTTGAGAAGTAACCTTTTGAGTTGAGACGAGCAGGAAAGTGACCTTTGAGATCAGAAGTTGACCTTTGACATCGGAAAGTGACCTTTACCGAAAAGTTCTAACTGATCAAAATGACCTTTCGAGTGACCTTTAAGATCCGGAATTGATGAACGGTGACCTTTAACGAAGTGAAATTGAAGTGCATAGTAGTACAGCGATATCAGCAGCTGTAGGATTTCATTTGTAAACGTGGTTTGAACTGAAAAAACGGTTTCGAAGTTCTGTCAGAAAAGTGACCTTTAGGGCAAACCTCTCGAACTTTTTAACGAAAAAGTGACCTTTAAACGGGACTTAATCGAAATTTTTCAACTGGAAAGTGACCTTTACTAAGGACTTAGAAAATTTCACAGAACGAAAGTGACCTTTAGGACAATTGAATAAACCATACAATAACGTGTCTGTGAGAACAATTGGCAGGAACGTCCAAGTTATCCGATCAACATGGATAAAGACACAGAGGAACCGACATCTACCAGCAGTCAGGGAAGCAGGAGCTCCCGAGGATCACAACAAAGCGCAGTTGATCCATATAAGAAGGAATACAAGTCGCTCGCGCGTCCAGTCGGACATGATAGACAGACCCGAGCGGCTGTGACCTTTGCAAGAAAAGACAGCAAAGGCAGTGATAGCACATACCAAGCGGCGCTGGGAGCTACACAGAATGAGGAGAGCTCCAGCGGTGACGGAAAGGATACTCCCGCATCTGCGGCGGGAAGTCATCCGATGAACCAGACAAAGGTCACCGGGGAGGACAAACCCACAGAAAGGGGAGCGGAACCAGTCGGAGCATCACAGCTGGATGCTACCATTAGCGGAACGCATGAGCAGGATAAAAATGTGAACCTGGCTCAAGTGGAAGAGAGAAACACAAAGGTCACCGAAGAGGGATTGACTGAATTGGGATTGGATGACCTTTCATTGAATGAGAAAGCGGCAGATGATGACCTTTTTGCAACTCCAATGGTCTCAGATGAATCCAACGAGTCATACTTCACAGATGATGACGCAACGATGAATATGTCCTTTCAAACTGCAATGAAAGAGGCTGACCGAGCAGAAGAAGTGACCCCGTTTAAGGATATCCCCGAACATTTAATTGACCGGACACAGAATGGAAAGGTTATCAATGTACGACCACAGTCACCAAACAGTCCTACGTTAACTCTTAGGAGACGCGTAAGGGAGCTGGAAAATGAACTTGATGCCACTGAACGTCATGCGGACAAGCGGAAACAGGAGTATCGAGATAGATTATCGACACTCGAAACTCGCTTATTCGAATTGGAACAGCAACAGGGTGACCTCCAGAGCTCCGCAGACGGTTGGAAAGTCAAATACGAGCGACAAAAGGAAATTGCAGAAGAGTACCTAAAGATGGCAGATGACAGAGAAATGGAAGGTCATCTCGCCGTCAGTGACCTTAATGAAAGCATGTCAGAGGAATCAGCAGAAAGGTCACGGCACTTAGCGGAATTGAAGGACGAGTGTGACCAGTTGCGTCAAAAGGTCACTGAAGCTGAAACTAAACGGGACGAGTACGCGACCAAATTCGCAGAGGTCACACAACGGTTGACAACACTGGCAACGGAGACGTTCAAACTAAGGAATGACTTGAAGCTACGGGAGGAGGCTGTCAGTACTCTGCAACTCGAATCGAAAGGTCATCAGGAACGGGCTGACGAAGCTGAAAAGTCGCGCAATGAGGCAATCAAGGCGATGCGAGAGGCAAGCTACATTACAGCCACTGAAGGAGCACGCCTGAAAGAAGAAATCAAAAAGGTCAACCAGGAGAACGAAAAGGTCACAGAAGACATTGAAAAGTTCACTAAGGAAGGACTCAAATGGCAGAAGGAAGCACGGCGACTGGACACAATGGTCACAACATTGGAGCTGAAGGACAAAGAGTGGCAACAACAGGTCGCTCAAAAGAGTCAGGAGATTGCAAAGCTGAACACTGACCTCGTCGAGATGACCACCACAGCATTGGCAAAAGATGATGAGTTGATCGCAATCAAGGATCAGCTGAGATCAGCCGCTGGGCAGTATCAGCAACTCGAAAATGAAACGAGTGAGCTGGTCGAGCACATCAAAAAGATGGAACAGGAAAATGAAAAGGTCACCCAGCAGGAGTCTTTTAAATTGCACGAACACTTACGAAAGGTCAACCTGGAAAATTCTGATCTAAAGAGAGAAAGAGAAGAACTTCAACTGAGAACTAAACGATTGGAAGATGAGAACAAGGCACTCCAAACGTCAGTCAAACATAAGGACGAACAACTCCTGCAATATGGAGTGAAGACGGCAACAGTGGAGTCTCCCCCGCCCAGTTACAGCAAGGCGCATGAAACGGGCACGGGCAAAAGCTTCCATTTTGAAATGCCCTTACGGACTGGCACTGGCAGAGGAAATGTCAAAGCAGAACAAGACGGTGAAAAGGTCAAAGACGATAAGGATAAGGAACCACCATCAGGTTATTCACACTCGAGCCGAGGTGAACCTTCACAATTCCCCCCACATATCGAAGTTAACGCGTTCATCGACGAAGGGCGACGGGACAGACCCCCTAGTCGACAGGAGCGTCCGAGGAAATCCCGCTACGCAAAGCAGAGGCGAAACCAAAACGATGATGAGAGCAGCGAAGAAGAAGACAACTTGAGAGGGGGGTTCGCTTTAGCGAAAGCGCTTGATTCCATGGCCCGGAAAACGCCTTTGATGACCTTTGATGGCAGCCGTGACACCGTCAATGGTTGGACAAGATTGGTGAAAGAAACCCAGGATACCTACCAGCTTACTGATAAGCAAATAATGATTGAAATAGCCACCGCAGTAAAAGGGCCGGCCAAAGGTTGGTTCGAAGGAGAAAAGGACATAGCATCAGAAGACGGAATTGAGTACACAGTCAAAGAATGGATGGAGAAATTCAAAGACGAGTACGGTGACCGAGACGAAGAAGTCTTGGGCTTACGAGAGGCCTATGCGAGGAAGTTCGAACTCGGAAAGGAATCACTTGACCAGTACTACCAAGCGATGATGCGATTCAAAGCAAAGAGAATCATCACTGAGAAGCAGGCAGTTGGCTTCTTAATCGAGGGATGCAAAGGAGACAATGAACTCTATAAGGCATTGCGCATACAAAAGTGTAAGACGCCGACTGATGTAAAGGACTTTTCCGACACTGGGCAACAGGAGATGAAAAGTACAAGGCGCCAAAAGGTCAACGTAATCAGGAATACGTGACTATCCGCCAAGGCCAGGTGGAGAACGTACCGCAACAGAGAATGGCAGCTGCACCGATCCAGCAGCAAATGGAATTCCGTGCAGAAACCCCTGTAAGAGAGGTCACGGAAAGAGTGACCTTTATCGATGGCCAGACGGGGCAGCCAATAACATACGCGATGGTGGCGGCGATACAAGCGGCGGCCCAAGTGAGGCCAGCACCCCAGAATGTGGCACCACCGAACGTAGCGACACCACAACAGGGAATGCCAAATGGAAACTTTGGCGGAAATGGATATGGAAACGGAAATTGGAATGGAGGTCAAAGGAACTTCCAGAATCAGGGACAAGGTCAAGGTCAAGGCAACTTTCAGCCAAATAGAGGAAACCAGAATAACTTCCAGCAGAACCAGGGGTCACGGACGGAATTCAAGTTTCAGATGATTGATGGATGGGTTGCAAACGGTGTGCAGATGTGCCAGTATTGTATGTACGGCAACCACCAAACCCAGGGATGCAAATTCGCCAACACACCACCGGAACAGAACCCGAACCTGTTCGCCTTTAACGAGTGGCAACGATTGCGCGGCATGGGCGGTTGGCGACAGGCAGTGGCAAATGGATATGACCTGATCGCGCAATGGTATCAGGCTCGGGCAAACTTCCCAAATCAACAAGGAAACGGGAATAATGGAAATGGCGGTGGCCAGAATAGTGGCTACGGCCGTGGTGGCTTCGGCCGCGGCGGCTTCAGAGGAAGAAACAGAGGCTTCGGCCGCGGAAATTGGAATGGCGGCAACCGAGGCGGTGCAAATGGAGGCGGAAACTACCAACAGGGTGGTGGCCAAAATAATGGTGGTGGCCAGAATAACGGAGGCGGACAAAACTATGTCCCGGTAAATAACGACGGACAAGGAAATGTGCAAGGAAATGTGCAGGGCGCGCAACAAGGTGGGGCGCCGGTTCAGGGAAACGGGCAAGATCAGTAGGCACCGGTGAGCCTACTGATCGTCCCGACCCTAAACCACCGGATAAGAGGGAAAGGTCACCACTGCAGAATGGTACTGTAGTGAACGTGACCACTGCAACGGCTATAAGGATGCCGTCAGCGCAAAAAGAAAGTGGACCGGCTATATGGATGCCGCAACCACAGCAAACGGCTATACGGATGCCGCCACAGCAAATTGAGACGGCTAAATGGATGTCGTCATTGCAAAAGGAAATTGAAACGGCTATAAGGATGCCGTCACAGCAGCAAAAAGAACTGGTTATCGGGAAACCAGTACAAGTGGATAAAAGGTCACCGCAGAATGGTGCTGCGAGTGGAAACGCGCAACGGGACCAAAGGTCACCGCAGAATGGTACTGCGAGTGGAAATTGTCGTGACGGTAGCGCGACACTGCAAAAAGTGCAGCAAAATGAAAGGTCACCGTATTGCAGCGAAGAAGTGTTAGCGCAACGACGCGCACAACGGAACGCAAAGATTAAACAGGCGCTGCTTAATCAGAAGAAACCGCAGAACGATACTGCGCAAGAAGAAAACGAGCAGCATGCGAAATTCCGAAAATTTTTGGCAGAAAACGATAAGGCGAATGAGCCAAGTTGCGATTGTTACGGGGAGCCAAAGCCAAAGTTTTGGAATTGTTCAGAAGACGAAGAAGAGAAGCTGGCAAGGCAAGAATGGATTAAGCAGAATATCACCGTTAGTAGTAAAGATGAAAGGTCACCTTCCGTTGGAAAAGTTCAAGTGAAGGGTCAAGGAGCGAATGTGAACGCCAAAGGTCACGGCGATAGCGTCGTGTTAAAAGGTCAAGAAACAGACTTGACACTGCGAACAGCGCAGCAAAAGAATAATGAAACGGCACAGAACTCCGACGACTCACTTGTGGACGCAGTAACATTACAACAGAAGGAAAAGTGGCAAAAAGTGGCCTACAGACCGAATGGCAATCACGGGATGTGGATACCTGTGACGCCAAAAGCAAAGCAGAAAGCGAGAATGTCACAAGAGGACTACTGGGACATGCAACAGTTGCGAACGCAATGTGAAAGAAAGCGACTAGAAGAGTTGGTTACCGGGAAACCAGCGCAAGGGTCACCGAACCCAGTCCCAGCATTCAACGCAGAGGAATATAAGAAGACATGCGCTGACTGGAATTATTCACGCAATGCTCCGCCACAGGATAAACCGCCGAATTATGGAGAAAAAGTCCCTATACAAAAGCTGACAAACGGCGGATTTGTCATGAAGCGCAACGAAAGGTCACAGGACTTAGCGCAAAATGAACAGAAAGGAAGGTCAAATGAAATGGCGCAAAGGCAACAGAGTGGCACAGTTGAAAGGTCACGGGACTTATCGGAGGCACTGCAAAAGGATGCCAATGACAAGTCACCAGCCCGGACAGACGGGATGTCTTCGCAAATTGACCCAACGAAAACGAACAACGAAGTATCTGCAAAAGTGATGCAATGGATGACCGAAAAGGGATATGATATGGTTACATATGAAAGGTCACCAGATGAGATGAAAGACAGCGAAGCAGATGAACTGAAACAAGCTGACCAAATAACAAGCAAAGTTATTGAGAAGATGCAAGATAAGCGAAATGAAAACCGTAAAGAGGAACTAATCCATCAGACGATAAATGAAGTGACTAAAGGTCACGTGCACAGCACAAAAGCAAATGAGCAAGTGCAGAACGTGCAAAAGGTCATCAGTGGTAAAATGGCTCCAGAGAAGCAAACGGAAAAGACAAAGCCGCGAAAATATTACGATGTTCGAACTGACGTCCCACACAGGATTGATAAGTTGAGCGAGATATTGAAAGGTCATAGCACTCCAACAAAAGGACAAGTGCTTCCCGACATGGATCCAGGACCGGTATCGCTCATCCCTGTGAAATGTAAGATTCATACACTGAAGATTCAAAATGGAAAACTGCCCAAGAGAATTGAAGCGTACACACACGAAGTGAAAGTGGGAGACATAAAGGTCAACGCAATGTTGGACACCGGCGCTGAGACGTCGCTGATCAGCAAACCGTTTTGCGAGAAGAATGGACTTCACATGCTCCCATTGCCACCTGACAGATTGGTGAAAATAAACGGAATTAGCGGAACGTCAGGATTCCTGGTGACGCACTACTGTGTAGCGCCAGTGACCTTAAGGAAGAAGACAAGCGAACATTCATTTTACGTCCGACCGAAGTGTGACGACGTACAAGTGTTATTGGGATTTGACTTCTTGGAAAAGAAATTCGTACTAATGGATAACGAAGGTGAAGAAGAGAAAGAAGACGACCCAAAACCAGTCGCCAAAATTCAAGTCGGAAAGGTCACCGAACTTGTAAAACAGACGGGAAATGCTCAAATGGTTAATAAAACGCTAATCCCAGTACCAGAGGCACCGGGAAACGAAAAGAAAAAGATGACGCGAAAAGAATTGTCACCATTTGAGCAGTTGCAAATGATTCAGCAGGAGATCGAAAAGACATTAAATCGGACCTTGCTGGCACAGAAGGGAAGAGAAAAGGTCATCCCAGTACCAGAGGCAACGGGAATGACAAAAGTGCAGCAGGAAGAAATTATCCCAGTACCAGAGGCACTGGAAACGAAAAATGAAAATGGAAAAGTCGGAAAAGTTATCCCAGTACCAGAGGCACTGGGAAAGGAAGACGAAAGGTCACCACCAACTGAGAACTCGGAACGAGAGCGTAATTCGAACCTTTTCGAACCACGATCTGCTACCAAATCAGCAGGGCGCAATCCGAGGGAAACCGAGAAACGGCTGAAAAAGGCGCCGATGGGGGAATCGAACCCCGGCTACGTCGTTAGATCCGCGTAGGCAGTACCACTGCACCACGGCGCAATACGTTGAAATCCTTTGAAAGATTTTGTCGCTTTACGTGAGCCGCTTCTCTCCTCACAATGCATTAGCAATTTAGCTGTCCATGCCCCCAATAAGTTGCGCGTGAACGGTCCCATTTCCAACATGCCGGAATTTTCGCAAAGCTTAACTGCCCGCTAGGAAGTAAAATGAACCCCGAAGTAAAAAAATCGTGTCTGGTAATCTGGTTTTCTTTCTTGCGCACTGACGGACACACTTTTCCATTTTTGCTACGGTTTAACGGCTTTCAGCCTGGAAGGTACTTTTACGTATATTTCGGCGAAACTTCCTTTTAATTCACTCGCCTAGCACGAGCCCGCTCTGTTCAATGGGCAGTGGTGGCAGCTCAAAGAAGAGTACTGACCGATAAACACGCTCCGTGTGAGTGAAGCGCTTGCGTATGCTCAACTGGTCCCTAGACACACTAATGAATCCCGCAGTTAAGAACGGCGTGTGTGTGATTGTGTTTCGAAGCACAGTCGCGGCTTTTGCATACTTAAAAACTGGCACGGACGATGCTGGATATCGACACTGCTCAGTGCTGTGTCAGTAGAAGCCGGTAAATGTTATGCCTTGGGCTAATGGCATTACCCTACACCAAGAAACCACTTAACCAAACAGTACAAGCCGGTCCGGAGATAGAGCACGATAGAGAACAGCGAAAGATGTGATTTGATGGATTACGCCAAACAGCATACTACGCCACACCACGCCACTCTGTTTAAACACGTAACATGCGTATCGCTGGATGGTGGCTTGGTGCACGCCATATATTTTAATGAGTAAAATCGTAATTGTCTGATGGAAGGTGGCCAGAAAACGGTCAGTGCGGTAGGGGACAATCTAACTGCGGAGCGCATTTACCTACGCATTATGTCAAGCGTAGTGCAGTGGCCATCGTGCTCAGCGCTAACATCGCGCTAATTATGCATTAGCTGTTCTCTATCGTGCTCTAACTCCGGACCGGCTTGTACACCCCCCCCACACAATGTGGCGATGGTCGTTTAACATTTATATCATTTGCCCTATTTGCACAACTTGTAAGTAATCTCCGGTCCAGCGCAGTCAAGTTGGAAAGCGGGAATGTTCGTCTAAGTGATTCGTTATTCGACACACAAACAACCTGTGTGCATGGTACAACTTGGCAAACCTTGGTACAACTTCCGGTTTTGGCGGTTTTTCCAGTTTTAAAATTTGAAAAAATTTTATTTAGTGTCCATTATCGGAAGCATATACGTATTGGCTACTGGCTAATGCTGAATAAAAATAAAAACACAGCAAACTATTAACCTGCTCCTTCCCATTGGTATCAAAGTGATACCGTGGAGGACTTTTGCTGCCGTGGCCGAACCAAGCATGCAAATTTCGATTACTCAGTTTTGTTAGAGAGATCAGATGTTGAGGCACATTTTAAAAAACTTGAGCGCACAGTATAAGTATAACGCGCACTCGCCAGTTGTCACCAAAGTAAGCCAATTTTTGATGTCACGGGTGTACCGAGGTCGTGAACACCTGCTGACCATCCGGGTGATGCGAGAAATTCTAAGTAAATAAAATAAGTAGATGTCATAATGGACTCCCAATCACAGCTTAAAATTTTGGAATACGTGAAATGAGTGACCAGTGGTGATCTTGGAAAAAATTTGGTATCATTTTGACAGCAATGGGCCATGGGGTACATACCGCACATAATACAAGATTGTCTAGTGAATTCAGCGTGCTACGCAGTACTCTTCAAATTGATATACTAAAAGAACCTTTTATGAGCTATTAAGCAAGAGCGTTTTAGTGGTCATCCGAGTGACCACCGTCCAGCAGCGTAATGAATGCCCTACAATTAGATCCATTTCATACTACCATACTGCCGGAAGCCATTCTGGTAGAAAATCATGGTTGTTGGCAGACGCGACAAGTGAACAGTGACCAGAGGTCACTTATGCTGCAATGAATGTGCATCAGTTAAATGCATCAGTTAAGGCATCTGTTAAGTGTGCTTTACATGGTCTTAAGTAGTTAAGTTATTAACACTCACTGAGTGTTAATAACTTAAGGTAATGGTGCATAATTAGCAAAGTGTAGTGGATATTTACAGTAATCAATCGATTATTTTAAAGCCGTACGTATTAGCATTCTGTATACTGTAGTCTTGCCACAAAAATTTTATTTCATTTTATTTATTTTGGTTAAGCTGTTTGGACCCCCTCTTCTTCATTTTATGAGCGAATTTTTTCTCATTGATCCACTGGATTGACAGCTGTTTTTTCCCTGAATAACACAACCACTTCCGCTTCAGCTGTTACCGAGTAAGCCCTGGACAACCGGTTTTAAAGCTCAGAATCTCGGAAAGTGATCAGTGTGTGCTGCCTGGTTTGAATTAGTGTGAGCAATGTTGCCCCAAGTTGAGCGCACTAAATGTAAGATGTCTGATAAGTAAGGAATGTTGTCGGTTTGAGTACCTAGTCTCTTGGTGGCAACCACAGTACTCGCCCGACGGAACCGGCGCTAGACGCACTTCCTTCTTGTTACAGCAAGAAAATATTCATCAGCATTCGCTTTGCGTGGCTTTACCTGATTCCGCGACGTCGTCTTCGAGATTCAGGCAGCAAAATACCGGCTGCGTCATGTTGCAGTTTATAGTGCGCTTTTGGGTATCCGTCGGACTTTTGGCACTGCTGTGGCCGGGCTGCATTTCCCGCACTGCATCTGGCCCGGACACTATTCAAGCCAATACAACAAATTCATCACAATCTTTGCCTGCCGATAAAACAGCTGCTGCCTGTCAGATTCCCGACTGCAAGGAAATAGGTTGGTCTTAACTTTTGTTTTTCTAAAGTATTTCTACTGAATTGTGCTTAATTCGCTCTCTAAACCCTCCAGCAGGGATAAATAAGCTACTCGAGTAACGAAAGCTGCATATCAAACGAGAGATGCTTTTTGCTTCACAGCCAGAGTTAAAAAAGCAGATGGCGTGGCCACGCTCACTTAATGTACGAAAAGCGATAAGTTCAGTTTGGTTAAGTTAAGTTTAACAGGAGCGCTTTGCGTTAACGGTAAAATGACTTCTATAGCAGTTAACAGCCCCACAAAAGCTACGTTATAACCTAAAAGGTTACGTTTTTTATTTCAAGCCGCAAAGTTTCTCAGCCGGATCGATACCAATGTCAATCCCTGCGACGATTTCTACCAGTTCAGCTGCGGCAAATGGATCAAAGCGCAAAAAGAAGACCAAGTGAGCGAGATCTCAAATCTGAACAACAAAACGCGAGCCATCCTAAAGAGTAGGCAATCTTTTCCCTGCAAGATTTAATCGGTTCAAATTTAATGCTCATTTTGTAGAGCTTCTTACGGGAGAAATAAAACCTGCTGGTCCAGCGTTCGAAGCCGAAACAAAGATGAAAAATCTGTACAAACAGTGTACTAACACAGGTAAAAATATTCCGCAGTATAATTTGTACGTCTATTAAAACGAGGTGTATGATCAATTACACATATTAACCGAATGGCGAATTACAGCGGAGATCGAAAAACTACGAGGTACTCCGTTGATCAAAATCCTTAACGATTTCAACGGCGGCTGGCCGATGATTACACCAAACTGGGATGCATCGAAATTCAACGTGTTCGACGTGCTGGTTAAAAACTATTTCTTCAGCAACGAACCCTTCTTTTCGGTTACGATTGTAATTGATGTGGAACAGCCGACAACCAGTGCGATTATACTGGATGCAATGGCACCCTTCGCTGACACCGATGTTCTGCTGGACGATGACGCGGCAGAACCGTACATTCAGGGTTATTTGTATAGCATTACAGAGGCCACCAAATTATTACTGCGCGATAGCCAGCGGCCACAGAACGTGACAAAGCTGTCGCCCAACATCACCGACATTATGGAGCTCGAACTGTTTTTGGGAATGGTGAAACACCGATGCGTCCGTTATTTACGCTCTTGGTAAATTACAGTAATCCTGCTAAATTAATTGCAGGAAGGGTTAACCGCGACGGAGAGGAAAAACGACGCCATCTACCTGAATAAATTTACGCTGAAGGCCTTCAAGAACCATAATAAATTTAAGTCCGCCATTTTGCGCAACATCACCGGGTATCTGCAAGCGTACTTCGCCGTGGCCAACCAGTCTGAAGTCATCACAGACGACACCATCGTCACTGTGCCGTCGTTGCGCTACTGGAGCAAACTGGACGATAAGCTGGTCGAGCTGGAGAAACAGGGAGCGGACGGCCGGCGCCGCATGGCGAACTATATCGGCTTAAAACTTATCTTCATTGTGATGCAGTATCTGTCCAAGGAGTATAAGAACCTTGTCGGCGCTTCATCCACCAGTGTCCAGGACGACTGCTTGGATGTTATTAAAACCTATATGTCGCTGGCGCTGGGCACGCTGTATGTTCGGGATATTGTACCCAAAGATCTGAAGAAAAAGGTCAGTTTGTACAAGTGGCCAACTGTTCTTACCCTTCCTTTATGCCACAATTTGATGTAGATGTATATATGTATATGTATATATGTACATGTATATTTTTATGTATACATGTATATTTTTATCAATTTTATGCATAGGTATGTATGGATGTATAGTACATGTACGTGTATGTGTACATGTGTACATGGTCATGTATAATATGTATATGTGCAAGTAAATGAATGCAAACGAATGCAAAAAAATAACGCATTCTTGCAGGCAACGTTGATGGTCAACGATATTCATGCCGGATTCAAGGACCTTCTAGACGATGCCAAATGGATGGATAAAGCAACGTACGATGCAGCCACAGAGAAACTGACGGCCATTCAGGAGATTGTAGCGTATCCGGATATCATGGTTACGAACACATCGGCTATCGATTCGGACGTTAACAGGGTATCTAGCTGCTTTAAATCCGCGACTTAATTTCAAATAACAGGCGTCGAAAATTCTTCGCAGATAATGATCCAGCCGACCTTCATGGGCAGCATCCTGCAGACCCGAAGAAACAATAACATCCGTGTCTTGCAGTCCTTCTCAACGCCAAATCTCCGTTATGATCCGCTGGTTGACACCGACGACATCACCAAAGTTAACGCGCAATACTTAACCGGAAAGAATCAACTGAGTACGTGGGAGCGTAGAATATCAAATCTGCTTCACAAGCTCCATAAATTCAGCTCACTTTAATTTCATTTTAATAGTTTCGGTTTTACTTTTTTTTTATTTTCTTTTTAGTTTACTACGTTATTCATTAGTATATGGACTGAATTAAAAAGATTTACTTTAAACGCCAGTTTTTGCAGTCATCTTTGCGGGCATTCTCGACATTCCATTCTTCAAGGCGGACGCGCCGCAGTACATGAATTACGGCGGTATCGGCTACACTATCGGGCACGAGTTGACGCATGGGTTCGATAACACCGGGGCCAACTATGACTCCGAAGGAACGCGACGCATGTGGTGGACTAACACGACTATGGCAGAGTACAAGCGTCGCGCCAAAAGTATCGTCCAGCAGTACAACCAGTACAGCATGCCCACGGGAAAGGTCAACGGGCAGCTGACACTGGCAGAAAATATTGCGGATAATGGCGGTCTCCGGGCAGCGCTTAATGTAAGCAGACTTGCCTTAAGTTAAGGTTAGAGCCTTCTTAAGGTTCCCCATAACTCACTTGTGGTGGTAAATATTAGCGTTTACGGATACTCGAGTAGGGTTTCTGAGAGATTCTGCAGTCTGTTAAATTTAAATACTAGTACCTACCAACTAGAACGTTTATGTATGTGGCATATGTAAACCACTTTCCAGTAGTGTTAAGGTTGTCTGATTGCCAAACAGTTTGGTATTTTCCAATTGGTTTTTGTCGAACAGGGATACACCCGCTACTTGGCACGGCCCGGTACGAAGGAGCCCGTGCCAACAGGTTTGGAAAACTATACTCCTCTGCAACTGTTTTTCCTTTCCGCCGCACAGGTACGCTTTTGCACAGTGAAGCAATTTCGTCTTTGCATGTACATTCTTGTGCATTAGGTGTGGTGCTACAAGACCACCCCCGACAAGGAGCGACTCGATCTGCTGACCTCTGTCCACTCACCCAATAACTGGCGCGTTAATGGTCCCATGTCCAACATGCCGGAATTCGCGCAGAGCTTCAAATGCCCACCGAGAAGTAAAATGAATCCCAAAATAAAACATCGTGTTTGGTAATCAAGCTACATTTTCTTGATTATGTTGTAACCGCGAGTGACCGGTTGCCTCTTTGTTAAAAGTTTCTTCATCGTTATTTGGCGTATGTTGCTGCGAGAACAGTAAACTTTCGTTTTAGTTTTTCCAGTTTGGATTAATGTAAATTCATCGTTACCACACAGACGTATCATAACGGTATTCTTTGCTCGTACATACAATGCACACCGAGTTATAAAAGTTAAGGAATCACAAAATTAATAACGCACTTTTTAACTGGCTAAATTACCTACCGACTAATGACTATACACCCATGTCGAATACTCCACAGTTAGTGATTCACAAAAGAAGAAGACATAATTATCCCAACGTACAAAAAACGACGAGCAGAATGCTATGCATTCATCATTACATGGAGAACAGGGACACGCTAGGCTTTATGACTTTTTGGTCGCAAAGGGTAATTTCGTGGCGATACTGCGGCGTTCCTGGCGGGCTGCCTGGTTGACGCGGATGCGCACCGGCAGCGTCATGCTGATGCTCTTGGCCCGCATCGACTGTACCAGTTGGGTGTGGTCCGTGAGATCTTTCAGAGCATCTACGAATCAAGCGAGCACAATCAAATTTTCTTGCTTGTAAAAGCCGCTAAAAATAATCTCGAAGCTGCTAAACTAAGAGCAAAAAACTGTTAAATATCTCGTACTTTGCACAAATGAAAAATAACATTAAAAGCGACTGATTGTAACGATTAAAATTTTAATATTAGCGTACTAACTACTAACTAATTAAGAAAAACCATTCCACAGCAGAAATAAATACAGGTACAAATAAAAACTATTTTATAAAGTTTGAAAAAAAACGTTAGCAAAATATATAAATGCCTTAAAAATGAAGTTCAGTAAATTTTTTTTAAAACCTTTATTAGGAAGATAAAACAAATTTTGCGCAAGTAAAAATGATTTAACAGTTATTGATTTTTAAATGATGCTTCTTTAACATGTGTTTAGGTGTGAAATAAAATATGCACTGATATTTAACATTTCCACTGAGTGCGAATATGGATTTGATTTGTCTTACTAAACTGTACATGGCAAAACCCGGGGAAACTCGTGACGTATTCGTGACCTTTGCGCTAATAAAAAGCATCCGTCTGTTTACACACTGACCTTTCGATTTGCCGCGTTTTTCCTTGCCGGCCGTCAGCATTTTGGCCGTCTGTATGGCCGCCAAGCGGTCCTTGGGCGCAATAGCGAACCCGGTCTCCAGATCGGCCGTCACCCGCCGGCGCTCCTCATCAAAGGCCTCCATCCACTTCTTCTTCTCCTCCACGGACTTGGCCAGTAATATCGTCGACTGCTCCTTATCGGGGCACACCACCACCCAGCCGTGCTTGATCCCGGCGTCGTTCTGCTCCAGATCCACAATGTCCACCTGGTCCATGTCGAAACGGCCCTTGTAGGAGAAGAGCGTGCGCTTAATCATATCGCGGCGACAGTAGATCAGCTGGTGGTCGAACAGGAAGAAGATGTACTCGTGGGTCCAGCTGTTCTTGCTGGAGAGCTTGGAGAGCTCGCCGTAGTGGATTAACTGGGAACTGCGTTCTACCAGGTCCTCGCCGTCCCACAGGTCGATCGTTTCCTGCCACAGGGCGATTTTTTCTAGGCATTCTAGCCGGCGTTTGCGTTCGTTAATAACACCTGAAATAGAAATAGTTAGAAAATTAGAAAATATTTATTAAAAAATTACGATTACACACCCTAACAAAAAATTAAAGAAAGTACTAAACCTTTTCAACGGGCTTTTTTAAAATTAAATAAGCTAATCAATATTCAGAAATTGCTGCGCAAAAACGTAAAAGCAAAAAATTAAATTAAACAAGGAAAACATATTTAATAAATCTTTTATTTATGTTCGCAATTTTTATTCGGTTATGCTGCACTATTCGGCATTTTTCAGTCGGTTTGATTTTCAAGCGGTATTTCGTATATATTAGTGTTGGCAAGAAAATAGATACCGCGTATCACGGTGGCGTCGTAAAACACTGTACAAAGGTCTGAGCAAATCCTGACACATCAGCAAACAAAAACATAACCAGTAAATGTGCATTGTGCATGTAACTTGGCATAACGGATTATGATACACTTCATAATGCGGCTGAAGGGGAACTCGATAGCGCGCGTTCATCAATGTCAAAGAACTGGACATGTAATTAACATGACAGTGTTATTACACTGAGAATAATAAGTGGCCTTGACCCATACTCGACATGAACAATGTCATCAGCGGCCGCCGCCGATAATTGCGGTTGTTACAAAATACCGCGCACGTGCTGATTTTATCCGGCCACAACGTGCATTGTACCGGCTTTTCTGCTGTTGAAACTTGAACTTACTCGTACAAGAGCGAAATCATTAAATTTTAAAGCACCGATACTAAACCAAACAAGTCCAAAAAATTCGCAGGCTTGTTGTTATTGTTAGTTGGCTATTGTCTGAATAAAATCGTCAGTGAACAAATTTTGTAATTATATGGTCAAAAATTATTCTTTTAAATAAAAGCGATAGAAACGTTCAGTAAATTTAATTTTCACTGCTTTTTGGACACCGGCTAATGCTCGTATTTATTTATTGCAGTATAAGGAAATATAAAACATTTCACGATAAAAAAAGCTTTTCAAAACTACCTACAATTGTTCTACAAAATTAATAGTAATACAATTTTTATTAAAGAAAAATTCAACGTTATTTAGTTTGCTAAATACCGGTGACGGATTTCATCGCATTGAGCGCCAATTTGACGCTCTGACAGTCCGGATGCCCGTGCGGCGTGTACTTGAGGAGTTCGGTGAGCTGCAGTGGATACTTGCAGATCTTCTGTACGGGTTGTAATAAAAATCCGTCCAGCGAGATCTCCATCATATCCTGCAGCATACGGCAGGCCTCGAAGAAGTGCGCGTACTGCTTGATCTGCTTGAGCTGCTGCAGCTCCATGGCCGACTGCGTGTGGTTGTTGCAGTAGTCGGAGTACAGGTCGGAGAAGCCGCGCTGGTGCAGCAGGAAGCAGTGGCCGATCTCGCTGCGGTGTACGTTGTTGGTGATGATGCTGGCCTCCAGGTCGGTGAGGAATTCGCACTGAAATTCGTACAGTTGCTCGAGGTTCCCGAAGATACACTCGATGCGGCCTTTGGAGAACATGTCGGGACGCTGCCGGCATTTATATAGATACCCTAAAAAATTCGCTGTTGTAACAACATTTATGGTGACCTTTATCAATTTGTGGTAACTTTTTTATATATGCATTTTTCTTCAGTTATGGATTTATAAACTACGTTTTTTCTTGAAGATCAAGCTTGTAGTTTATGAGTTTACTTAGTATAAATATGCTGATACGTACAACTGTTGTTGCCGAATTAAAAGAAGAAAAAAGGTAATTTATTTTGCAAAACATAATTTATAATATGATTTAATTTTATGAACATGCTATTCTGTTCTTCTTAGACTGCAGCCAGTGCTCATAAATTTTGTATTATTTTGTCCACTATTACGAAAATCATCGGCTTGTATCAGCGGCTCGAAAATCATCGGCTTGTTAAAGTGTATGACCTTTAATGTCAAATGAAAGATTTCGCGGACGTTTATGTTTATACAGTCAAAGAAACAATCACCGGTTTAATTAATTCAAGCACTTAATTTACATAAGTGTGTTGTACTAACTTTGAAGCATAAACCTTACCTTCGATGACATCCTTGAGATTGTCGACGAAATCCCGCTCATTCTTGAGGATCTCCTTGACGATGTTGGCGCGCATCCCTTCCAGGGAGGACTCACTGACGTTCTGCTCGCAGTCCACTTCGTACTTGACCTGCGACCACAGCGACTCGATGTACAGCGGACTGGCCGGTGTATCGGCCGGCGGCTGTCCATTTGCCGCGGTGTGAGCGTTGTGCGATGAGGCCGAACTGTTGGACAGGTCGGAGGTGCGCGACGAGCGCGCCGAGACCGACCGATCCAGATCACTGGACTTGTCATCCACCTACACAACCACAATTCACCATACAGTGCATTCATGACGCTCTGACAAAGGCTTGGAGTGCGGCTGCAGTTGACACCATCAAACCAAATAGACCGGATAGAATAGAGCAGAAATAACAGTCAACAGCTACTGAAAATACGAGTATGTAGCGCTGATATGCTGTGCAATAAAGTGCATAAACGTGCGCTAGATAAAACCGGCAGTACTTAGATTTACATATCGCAGAAATAATCCCGTTTTACTGCTGTTGTTGCATAACACGTTGCATAACGCTCCTTTTTAAGGATTTGCCGGCTGATCGACACACGGAACGCAAACTATTTTGTAAAACATTATTTGGAATTGAACACGTACTTAAATTACTGTATAAGTTTGACGCTATGTATTCTTCTCTATATCATGACAATAATATATGGAACAGGCAATCAAAGTGAAAACATGGAAGACGAAAGAAGAAGAAATCTGACACTACGAGAATCATTAATACGAGAATCTCGTAGAATAATTTGCAAAATTTAATTTGCAAAATGGCGGATATACCGCACACAGTATGCCAGCAACCGAGCTCTATAATACAGAACAGATTCGTACACAATAAATGTGCACAGAACAATTGTAGTGTATGGGCTATTGCTCCCCGGACTTTGGCGGTGTAATACTTTGATGTTCAAGTAGCATTTATATGAAAACCGCAAAAAATAACGTATTAAACCTTTTTTTTGTAATTCTTTCTGCAACATATTCTGTTCACTGGCAGGCTATTTGCAAAATATTTGTAACTGCAAAGATTGTTTCGCAACGAGTGACTATTTTTTTAAAGCGGGGGTGGTTGTCTTAGTGTCCACATGTTTCTACTGAATGTAGTTCAAGCCTTATTAACGTAGACGTAAAACTTTCGGAAAACATCGCGACGTGAATTATTATTAATAAAAAGTACGAAAAGACGGTGATTAATATTCGATAGTACGAAAATTTGCGGTAATAAATTATGGGCTCTAAAATGCGGAAAACCTCGCCTTACCTGTGCAATGGCGAAGGAGACCAACCGCCCGTTCGGCTGGCAGCTGCGTGAACGGCGCATGGGTGACCCACACCCCGAGACGGCGCTGGAGTATTCCGTGGACGTCGGCCGGTGCTGGCGCGACGAACTGGACATCTCGTCGGCGTCGTGGCCCAGATCGACAATCCCACTATCCGCGCTGGTCGGTTTGCGGACCGGTTCTACCGGTTTCAGGAGGCCATCGTAGAAGACACTATTACTGACCGCATGCCGCGCCGGTTGTGTCGGCAGGATCACCGCCTCCGGGGCGGCGCCGCTGTCATCCTCGAGATCACAGGGATAGGAACTCTTGCGGGCGTACTGCGTGCTGGGCCGCTGCAGCTTGGCCAGGACGCCGGTGCGCAGACTGGACAGACTCTTGCGCATCCTCTGCATCACACCATCCTCCCCGGGGGAGGCGAGGGCGTCTGGATCGGTCCCCTGTGAGCACAGATCATTAGGCACGGTGAGGGTCGGGACGAGGGTGGAGAGGGGCCGGCGGGGGAGGAGCTTGTGCCGGCTGGCGTCCGATTTGGAGCGCTGGATGCTGGGAGAAGGGCGTGGGTGTGGGCGGCAGTAGGCGTAGGCCGTTAAAGGGTCTCCTACATTAGCAAAGGGCTTTTGATGATTCTTATAAGCAGTTCGTACAGATTATACTAAACAAAATCCGGCAGTTAAATTTACAAATAAATACTCATGGAAATATGGAAATACATACGACTATTATAAAAATAGCGTTGGGAATTTCTCGCTCATAAGCGATAATTACAAAGCTCAATCCCAATCACAAAGGAGTTAATCAGATTCCTAGAGCCTTCGCATTAGCAGAAAGTTATTAATGGTTCCGTACAACGAATGTCAATTTCTTGCAGATTATGCAGAGAAACAGCCGGCAATAATCATAATTAACAAGGTAAATAAATATCATACAGGAAGTTATGCAATATTATAATCCAAAACCGCACTAAGAATTCCTCGCTCACAAGCCATAATTACAATGCTCAATCCTTATCACGAAGTGGTTTAACCCGATTCCCCATACCTTCCGACCAACGTAGCGTTGCTCCCTTCAGAGCAAAATTTGCAAAATAAATAATGCTAAACACGCGAGAAAATCCGACCAGAGATACCAATTGAACCGTGATGGCTACAAACTCACAATTTTAAACTACAGCGTGGTTAACTTTCAACACACATATTACACACATATTGCAGCATAATTTCGCAATGATATATGCCGGCAAAGGTGTGAAGAGTTATGCGCGTCAGGGCATGCAATCCATGCATTGATAGTGTGTAAGGCAAGGTAAACAACGGACTGTTGATCTTGGCGTGTTTACTCAAGACCTTCTCGCTGCGCACGGTATCACCGCTTGGACTTTCTCATCGCACGTCTGATTAGCGTGCAGACAACACAAGCAGCTATGTTGATGTGCGGGAGAGCGTGCAGCTGGGGCGGGCAGTCCCAACTTCCCTGTTCGCCCAACTGACCAGTTCACATTTCTGTGTCTAAAATTCGCCGGTCGAGAAAAAACTAATCGAAAATCTGCGGATTGACTGTAACATCCAAAATCCGATGTACAAAATTTATTTCTGGAAAAACGTTTTGCAATGAAAATTTCAAAAAAATATTGCGCGATGACCGCCGCCCGCAAGTAAGGGAGAAAATACTTCCCGCCAAAATTTAGCTGTTGTTAATATTTTACATAAAGATTTAACTAAATTTTGATTAAGAACTGAGCAAACCTACAAAAAATAAACAAGTTTCGGAAAAACGTCCAACGTTAACCGGATCACCGTACAGAAAATTAGCCCAGTGCGCCGTGTAAGAGCACCGAACCATGGCTGATGATTACAGTGGTGGTAGGATGATAACAGAAATTTATGAACAGACAAAAACAGCAAAAACACACGGCCAGCATGTTTGTTGTGGTAGCCTGAGTGGGTCAGTGCGATATCGCGGTATGCAAACAGCAGCAATTGACAGCTGTACAGACACTACACTCGACACTGTACAGCAAGGGTATACGGGTTTCCCAGCGCCCCGCTAATTACGGCAATCGGCGCTGACCGTTTGCCGCGGTCGCCGAAGTGCGGCTCAAGTGGCCCCCATCTCCACGATACTGTGTGTGAACAACGCTGAAGATGCTGTTTTTTTTTCTCCTGCTGCTGTTCAACACACTGGCGTTGGACCGGACGGCGAGTGTATAAATAAGTTGACGGACGGGGTTTTTATACGGTCCAGACGGATTTAAATCAGATCTTCGGATGCGCCAGACTCACGAGTTACCACGTAACCGGTAATTATTATGGAAAGGGGTTTCTTTTTCTTAAACGCGCGGAAATTGTCTGGTATTTTTGCGCCCGGGAGGGTTAATTAAAACGGTTGATTTTGTGCCGCGTTTAATCGTGGGATAAAGCGACAATTAATCGGCTGAATAAATGCCGAATATGCCGACTGATTAGCTGTTAATTTCGTTTAATTTATTCGGCTCGCGGGCAAAAAGAAACCCAGACACCGGCGGAATGCTAATGCAATCGTTTTTTAGGCCCTAATGTACAATATTCACCAGGCATTCAGGAAATTTATACCGCAAGTAAAACGGAAAAAGAAACTGTTAAAAGCCCTTACGTAATAACCGGCAAAATCAATCAAAATTTTAAGAATTCTGCCCTCTGTATTCATGTACCTTAAAAATACGGAAAAATTTACGAAATACTTTGAAAAAAATATTATCACATACTTTTAACTGAATACAATAAAACCTAGGTAATTTCTGAGACTGTTTTAATTGGAAATATTTTTAAGCTATATTTGAACAAAATTACAAAGCAAAATTAAATTTGTTCTATGTAAAACAAATTTAGGTTTTCGCCAAAATTAAATTCAGCTCAAGGGAAATTTGATATTAAACTTTTGCAGTTGACAAATTCTTCGCCTATAAAACTATTCTTTCCGGTTGAATGCCGGAAAACTATTTTCGAATAAGCGCCAACATAAATACATAAATCTTACCGCACCGGTGCACTTGGTCAGCGCATTACAAGCACGTACAGCATCCGGAAGCACACGCACGCATAATCCGTTTAATGGGCATACATACACAAATTCGCATTTGAATGAGGGGAACACATATTAATGGCGAGCGATGTAACACTAGCTGCAACGATTACCTCTCAACAACACACTGCATTCCGCTCTCGGCTTATCGCCGCGGACCCTCTCCACAACACACACAACACAATCACAGTCAAACAAGTCACATTCGCGCCTTCTTACGTCAGCGCACCCGCCCAGTGGCGCTGATTGGCTGGGGAGAAGCCCCGCCCTCCGCTGCCGTCATAACCCGCCAAAACACTGAAAACATATTTATGACGCCAAGTTTTTGCAGAGTGAGTGCGTTTTTATGGGTGTATCCGAGCTGTTTGGTCGAGAAGCGGGTTTATGAGGAAATAAAGATAAGAGTTGCGCGCAATCGCTCCTCTGGGTCGCGTGCTTAATTGCCGTGGAGATTAACACAAACAGGGAGGGTACACACAGTCCCTGATGAGCCTGGATCGAGGTCAACTGGAAAACCGACTTGTCGGATACACATCGGGATGCGCACGAGAATGGCAAATGTTCTTGAGCACGGCTCATTGACGCAGCCTTGCGAAATGACCGGAAGTGATCAAGTGCTGAGTAAAGCCCCGGCTGTGTTGACAAAAGCAACGCATCGTGCAACAGTGTACACGCAGTCTGCGAGCTAACATCAGCATCAACCATGCAGTGAAACGGCAACTATCTTTTCTTAGTCGGCAGTTTACGTATATTTCTGGCGTCGCAATTGTCCTGATGATATACTACTGCATGTAATCATGTTTTGCATTTCGGTGGAAATTTTCCGTTAAGAAACTGTAAAAATGAGCCGACAGGAAATAGCTCCTCATAAATTAAGCAATTCAACTTCCGGTTAAAGTAGTGTTTAATTTTCCTCAGTTACCGCACGGTGTTCTCTGTGGAATTTCCAAAACTGTGTCTGTCGTTTCGAGAATTAAGCTCGCGGTGTGTTTTAGGGAGGGGTTGCTGATATGCTGCCAAAACAGCAAGGAAAGGTCACACGCTTATAAAAGTATAGATACAGGTTGACACCTAAGAGATGCGCTTATATGTTACGTATGATGTGCGTATCTTGATAGTTCGATCAAGCCGGTATGGGACCGAATCTTCCTGTGCCGCGAAGTGCATCGTGAGTTCATGAAACAGAAAAACGTTCTACAAAGATTGGCGAGTAGAATTCATGTAAATTACGAGTGTGAACTATCCCTACGTACGTACAAAGAGGAAATGCTAAGAAACCGCAATGAATTTTATTTCGTTTTCTTTCTACAGTAGTTAGAAGTGTAGAGACTGATCCCACCACCTCGTGGCGGGTGGCATAGAGACTGGTTCGCAGTGGACACTGTCCATTTTTTGACTAATGTAATCCGCCAATCAAAACGCACGCACTCGTACAGCGTAATTGCTTTTTCTCCATTTCCCCTCAGCAGCGTTAACCAATCAATTTCGCAGCAGGATACGATTGACGGTGAGAAATACTTGATCAATTTGATGTCACAGAGATTCTTCGAACGACAGTATCGAATTGGCGATGTGATGCGCTGCGCTCTGCAGCACACTTCGCGACTGCATTACGCGCTTGGCATGACTGCGCAGAGTGGGTCAAAAAACAATCTGGCCAGAGGATGCGCTTGCCTGCACAGTAGCTTAATGATGCGCATTCCGCGTATAGAACTACCGCACATCCATATCCAGCACAATTCGCTACACCATCACGCTTTTGTGCCCATTGCACAATGGTTGCGCTGCGCAACGTCGTTTATCATGCGCTGACCCATATTTTACGATACACAGTCACACACATCAGATTCTTATACGGTACAGCGCTACATTCGATGCGGCTACCGCGGAATAAATAAATGAGAAACAATTTCCTACGCTTGTCAATCTACCGGAAAAGATTTGATTGGATGCTGTTGGCACACGGGACCGCAACCTGGGCGGTCGGAACAGGCAAAGCGCTTCTTAAAAATTTGG